TTTTTTTTTTTTTTTTTTTTTTTTGTCGCCAGCACTTACGGAAAAAAAAAATCGGCACCTGGAGTTTTATTTGATGTATTTACAAAGCAGTTAGGCTCTTGACACTTGCATGGCGGCTAAGAATGTCAAAAAAGGTGTATGGTGTCAACTTCTTTTGCAAGGCTCCACCTTGGTGACGACCTTGCCTCAATGCATAAGTACAGTTATTTTAGTTTTCTTGTACAACTTATTTTTACACTGTATATCCCACAGACAAAATTGATTGTAAAGGGCAGCACATCAGCGAAACCCCACCCAGAAACACATGATGATGTTGCACTGAAATTTGAGCCCCACATTTCAAGTTCTCGCAGAGGACACTTTGGGGGGCGGGGGTGTACGGGTCAACCAGATCTTCTGGTGCTCAAGACGCATTCCTCGTTTTAAGAAGTGCTTACGTCAAGCCCCGACATGCCTCAGTGGACAGACGAGCCTCCGGGAGGCGAGCGCAGTCGTAATCAACCAGCAAGTGGAGGTCAAACGTACCCGACGGCCACTCTGCTCCACTGCCCTGTGGGCAACGTGATCAGCGAGTCCCAAGCATCGGAAATGACCTGCTCCAGGCGGCGCTGGCTCGGCGGGGACGACCGGAGGCCGTCCGGGCTGATGTACTGGAGGAGTTGCTCGGGTAGCTCGGGGCAGCCGTGGTAAAGGTAGCCGACCGCCAGGGCCAGGAGGGCTGCCACCGACGCCTTCCTCCACATGATGCACTGAAAATAAATCAAGTCAATTCAATTCCATTGGAATTCAGACAATTTGAAGTTAAACAATGGCTCTAAATGATTATTAAAATAGCTGGCCATCAATTTGATAATTGATGGGATGACGAATAACCAATGAGTTGTGACACCTGTACTTGTAGCTTCTTTTTTTAAAGCCAGCCAAACTCCTACTTGTTGTTGTGAGTTGAGTAAACTGCCGCCACATAGTGCTTCTTAAATGAATGCTCGCAAGTCAGAGCAGAATGTGGTCCAAACGACAGCTCGTATTTCGAAAAACTCACTTCGTGTCACGCGTAGCTCAGGGCATCACTGACGTCATGTGTGAACATGGTTTGAACCCAGGCTTCCCCACAACCTTTTGTTGTTTGAATTACAAATTGCGCGACCTTTGGGTTGTTCGACTAAACAAACTTTGCAATTTGAACTGAGTCGTTCTGGCAATATAGTGCGATGCTTCTGCTAATGCTAGCTCGTCCACCGCGTTCGCTTTTTGAGTGAAGTTCGCCCGAAACTGGCGTGACAACAGTCAGAAGCGCGAAAGCCGCTCGGAGGAGCGAGTAATCTCATTAAGAGACAGAGTTTCCATTTATATTCCACCACTACAAGTTTTTAATGACTGAAACCGCGGGAGCTAAAAAGGCTTAATGGCTGACAGAGCGGTCGTCGAACCTACCACTGGTCCGAGTGCAGCCTTCAAACGTGTTGCCGAGGAAAGTGCTGTCGTTGCCCGGAGAACCGCATCAACGGCGCTAAGCTCGTTCGACGATGCCCGTGGAAAGGGAGGCGAAGCTCGGCGTCATTGAACGAACGAGAGGCGGTGAGCAAGGAAAGCAACAGGAGGCGGAAGAGGTTGGGTAGCTCGGGGCAGCCGTGGTAAAGGTAGCCGACCGCCAGGGCCAGGAGGGCTGCCACCGACGCCTTCCTCCACATGATGCACTGAAAATAAATCAAGTCAATTCAATTCCATTGGAATTCAGACAATTTGAAGTTAAACAATGGCTCCAAAAGATTATTAAAATAGCTGGCCATCAATTTGATAATTGATGAGGTGACGAATAACCAATGAATTGTGACACCTCTACTTGTAGCTTCTTTTTTTTAAAGCCAGCCAAACTCCTGCTTGTTGTTGTGACTTGAGTAAACTGCCGCCACATAGTGCTTCTGAAATGAATGCTCGCAAGTCAGAGCAGAATTTGGTCCAAACGACAGCTCGTATTTCGAAAAACTCACTTCGTGTCACGCGTAGCTCAGGGCATCACTGACGTCATGTGTGAACATGGTTTGAACCCAGGCTTCCCCACAACCTTTTGTTGTTTGAATTACAAATTGCGCGACCTTTGGGTTGTTCGACTAAACAAACTTTGCAATTTGAACTGAGTCGTTCTGGCAATATAGTGCGATGCTTCTGCTAATGCTAGCTCGTCCACCGCGTTCGCTTTTTGAGTGAAGTTCGCCCGAAACTGGCGTGACAACAGTCAGAAGCGCGAAAGCCGCTCGGAGGAGCGAGTAATCTCATTAAGAGACAGAGTTTCCATTTATATTCCACCACTACAAGTTTTTAATGACTGAAACCGCGGGAGCTAAAAAGGCTTAATGGCTGACAGAGCGGTCGTCGAACCTACCACTGGTCCGAGTGCAGCCTTCAAACGTGTTGCCGAGGAAAGTGCTGTCGTTGCCCGGAGAACCGCATCAACGGCGCTAAGCTCGTTCGACGATGCCCGTGGAAAGGGAGGCGAAGCTCGGCGTCATTGAACGAACGAGAGGCGGTGAGCAAGGAAAGCAACAGGAGGCGGAAGAGGTTACCGCCAACCGCCACCGTCAGCACACAGCCGCAAGCAAATCACACTTCCGCCTTCCCGCCTGACGCATGCGCAAACGCTGCCGGTTTAAAATTATATTTTAAATTGAATACAAACATCAGCATTTAACATGCAAAACAACCCAAATACATACACACACACACACACACAAATGAGAATGAGTGTGGTTTAACAATTTGATTGTGATCAATTCTTTACATAGCCACACCCCAATTAAAAGGGTGTCATAATGTGTCATAGTTCACCCAGACTATTATTATTTGAAATTACCACAAGATGGAATGAATTTGTAAATTAATTTATTAGTGGGACGGTATCTGTAAAGATAACCAGACTAAAATCATTTTAAAAGTTTTTTTTATCTATTTGGACCCTTGGCCCCCTTGCAGGAAACAAATACAGTATATCCAAGTTGATATTCTTTATATTAGTTTTTGTTTGTATGCTGTACTGTCGCCCACCTTAACATTGGCACAATTATAAATTCAAGACGTTGAAAGAGGTCAAAACACAATCTGTTTCTTTATTACCACAACTATTTGACAAGAGGCGCTCAAGAAAATGTGAGCACTGAGACAAAAACAAAAATCATTCTCAGAGAACGTCCAATAAATAAGCGAAACTAAAAGAATCCTGTGTGTTATAGTTACACCATTTATGACGCACTACAGAAAATCGAGAAGCCATGCCGAACGAGACACAGGGAGGCTGCGACGCTTTACCAAGATAGGATGTGTTTGGCTCCGGTGAGGGTTTTTTAAAAAAATGGAATAGTACTCTCTAAAAAGCTCATTTCTGAGGTAAAACTACTGAAATCTCACTTCAATGCATTTCGAGGGCTTTTCATTTCATTCCACTCATTTGAGGACTTTTGTGTCAGACTTGTTGGGAGCTGTGAAGCTGACGCGGACGTCCCGCCGGTAGAAGCCCTGAAGGACTCCCCCAAGGACAACATTAGGCAGACCTGCAACACAGAGCGAGAGGACCAGGTGACACTAGAAGACGTAGTGGTGCACCAACACAGCTCTCCTATAGATTGTTTCACAACCCCAAGTTTTTTATTTTTTGTCATCGTTTTCAGTTCAAGTTGGAGGTTGTCACTCACTTTCTACCGCTCGAAGTACTGCGCCCTGCAACTTACTGTATACAAAAATGAAGAAGTGATCTCTACCTGATATGCAGTCGGACACATATGGATCCCGGGAGAACCCCATCACTTGTTGATGTGGCAGCTGAAAACTGAAGGACACATGCACATTCTTCATTTGGCTTTTACGAGCTTTTTCAATTTAGAATTAAATGCGGTGGATAGAAAAAACATCTACATATCTCTTTTCAAATGCCCCGAAAAAAAAAAAAAGAAAAAAAAATATGATTCATACAATGTCATTTCGTTTCATTTCGATCGTCTTTACCTGCAATCCGGATTGTCCAGGTCATCGAGTGATCTGAAAGCAAAGCGATTCATTCATCCTCAATAAGCAAGACATATCATTCGGTTACGACAGCCAAGTTGCGCCAAGCGTCATTCGCACTCAATTGGATTGGTGCCATAATTTTGTTATGCGAAGCCAGTTACATAAGTATTTATGAAAGACAAGAACCTTTGCATTATATTGTCCATTAGTTGAAACATAACTACAGTAAATGTGATTATTTCGTGACGGATCAATCATTTTGCATTTTAATGGAAATTCTATGAATGCTTCCATTTTACATTGTGAAATATAACACACACACACACACACACGCACACACACACACACGCACACACACACACACACACACACACACACACACACACACGTTTTACTACTTCAGAACCGTTGTATGTACAGTATTTAGCGGCATTTTCATAATTTACATTCTATTTATCGAACTGCTTTTTATTTGACGAATGTGGAAAAAAAGCTGGTGGCAAATGGTGAACGACGATTAACGATGAAAATGGAGCAAGTCGCCCAACTGAACTGTCGTAAGTGTTAAAAGTGTTCTCACTCCATGCTGCTGATCTTGTTGCCTGTGTGGTAATGTTTGACATGGAGAAAGTCCAGCAGCTCCTGAGGCACATCCTCATTGAGACAGACGATCTCCTGGTCAGGACACCACAAATAACATACTGTAACATCAACTCAATACAAACCTCGCATGCAATCAATCATTTCTGCGTTACCTGGATGTAATCCTCCAGCTCCTGCCTCCTCTGCTCCAGAGGTTTGGTCCTCAGATGAGGATTCCTTTTACTCGGGAAATCTGGGATCTGGATGATCTTCCTGAGCTGGAATTACAGATACAACTAGACTTCTTGGACAACAGCATGTCCAAGGCCTAATGAAGAGTAAGTGTGTGTGACAGGACGGTCACATGAACTCACTTTTCTGTGCAGTGTCTGGAATTCGCTACTCCTCCTCAGCACAAAATGTTTCCTCTCGTTGAACAGCACTTCAACTCGAAAGAGCTGCATGAAAAGACACACACAGCGTTTGCAGTTGAAAAAACATCTTTGAGAATCAATGAGGAATGACGAATATTATACATGCAAGAAGGGGAAACGAAGACCATCGCATGATTAAGCTGCTTGTTTACATATCGACATTATGTGTCCACTAGGAGGCATTGTAGACTGTTGAGTGGTACTTATTGGGCTCATCAACCTTTTTAGAATTCCAAGTTACTTTTTGGGTACTGAGTAATGCAAAAGTCTCTCAGTTTGATACATACTTCAAGTAACAAATTTGTTCAAATCAAAATGCCTTTAATTATTTGTTATACTTCACCAATAATATTAGTACAAAATTCTTCATTATTAGTCGTAGTGAAGTCCTGCGTCTGAAAGGAAATGAGATTTGTTACACGCGTGAAAAAAAAGTATATTTTGTTCCGAGAACACCGTTTTTATTGTGAAGAGTGCGTTTTTTCGGAGGTTCTATGAACGCATCACAACATGAGACAACCTGCTCGCCAAGCCCAGCAACCAGGTGCTTACTCACCTTTCGTTTCCGTCTTTACTCCAGCACAGCAAACACATGCGAAATGGGCGACAAAATACACAAAGATGCCCCAAAAAATGCAGCAAAAGCAAAAAAAATGATTAAAAAAAAGGGTTGAAAGTACTCACCTTTTTGGACTTCCCCACCTCGTCCACTTCCCTCACCGTGGATGGAATAGTCACGTGTATCAATGGCATTCCCGTTGTCCCACCCGAAGCATTAGGAGCGACTGTGGAGGGCACTTTTTCTGTCCGGTCCGAATTGTTCCGGCAAGTCTTTTTCGGAGGATGTGTCCGGGTTGCCAGCGCTCAACTCCAGCGTGAACAACAGTCTTCCCACCTCTCGGAGCTCCACCTCCACGCTAATTGGACAGTGCGGCACATCCGGGAGATTCAAAGTGCAGTCCACCGCACAGGAAATTCGCTAGCAACCTAACTAATTTACAAACGCTTCATTTCTAAAGTAGTTAATCGGGGTTCACCAGTTGTTTTCCTCGTTATTCAATGAAGGTATCGAAGAAAAAAAGACAAGTTTTAAAGATACCAAAAAGTCTCAATGTTTTTGTGTTGTTTTTTGTTTTCGTCTCATTCTTTTTTTGAAATTGCTTTCATTCAAGGTCTTTATTTGTAAGAAAAAAATAATCATGCAAATATCTCATGATAAAATACAGTTTAAGTGACAATGATTTCATAAAGGAAAAATAATATTTAGGTTAAAAAACAAAGGATAATGCAGGTAAGGCTTGTGTATATATCAAAGATATACAAACTCTTCATATAGTATTTTATACTATCTGCATGACAGGCACAGAAAAAACAAAAAACCAAAGATAATGCAAGTAAGGCTTGTGTATATATCAAAGATATACATACTCTACATATAGTATTTTATACTATCTGCATGACAGGCACAAAGGACTATATAATGTAGTCGGGTCAGCCTGGTATAACAATTCTATTGAAGTATGCAACAACGTAAAAGTGATGTAGTCCAACGTGGAGGGTTTCACTTCTCTGTGAATCAACCATGTTTGGTTCTGAAATGGGATGTAAACCCAGAAACACTTCAAACCGTTCAAACACTATTTGAAAGCTGCTGTCCAGCAACTCCTATAAATGAGCGCTAGTGAAGTGCACTGGCACAGCGGCCTTTGAAACGTGTCGTTCTGAGACTTAGGCGGCCGCGAAGGACAAGTACAAGTGCGAGCAGCTAGCATGAGCAGGTGTGTCTATTTTGGCTTTTGACATGTGTCTGGTTGTGAAATGGAGGAATGTGAGGGGCCACACGCATTCACATGCTGCCAGTTGGCGATGAGTGGACAGAGCAGCTGCGTGGCCACTCGGTCCGAGTGAAAAGAAACGCTGTCATCCATGAATAACCACGTTAGCTAACGCATTTCTGGACTGTGCGCATTTCCCCCTCTCATTTAATGCCTTTATCACCTGACAAGTGTTTCACAAATGGTGCTAATAATAATCAGTGAATGCGTACCGACCTCTTGGCCACTGTCAATCACAAGTGAGCCTCACTGTATTTTTTTGTAAAGTTGCATTTTTGAATCAGTTCTTCAAAAGAGAAAAGGTGACCCAAGCAGAATCGTGAAAGACATGAAATGAAAAACCAATGGAAACACACGAAACAGGATTGGAGTCGAAACATGACTCAAATAATTCAACGAGCAGCACGCAACATGACTCACGAAAAGTAGAAACATGACTTCAATAGAAACGTGATTCAAATAGAAACATGACAACATCACCATGAAACATGACTTCACTCCGAGCGAAACCTGAAACATGGCTCAAGAAGAAACATGACTCAATCCGAACCACGAAACGTGACTCAAGTAGAAGTGTCACACATGGCTCAATCCGAGCTTAAAGTAGAAACAAGAACCTTGACTCAAACACATGAGGCCATCTGTCTAATGGAGAGACACATGAGGACGACCACATCGGACACTGATCGAAACATAAACACTTTTATGAACATCTCGGTCACACTTTGTTGGTGAAAACTACGAAGTACTGGAAGGAAAGTGAATGAGTTCCTCCAAACTTGGCACCTGGAAGAAAGACAAAATACGAAAACTGAGTTAGTGTCACAATGGATTTCTAGAATAGACAAATCCAATCCACAAAAGCATCTGTGATAAGAGCGGGGTGTGAGACAAACGCTACGCTAAGGGTGACGTCGGCGCTACCGTCTTGTCCGGCCCCACGCTGAGGTTCTGGATCCTGTAGAAGTTCACTTGTCCACTCGAGTCCCCGACCAGGATGCAATTTGAGCCCCTGGCGAACAGCATGGATGTCAAGTTGAGGCCCCGTGCGGCGGGTTCCACGATGACGGGGTCCAGCCTGGGGGAGTTGCAATCAGTAACAATTTTGACATTCACAACTAGCATCGATGTGTGAAGAGGAGTTATTCAATGTAGAAAAAAAACGGAATTAAGGTAAAACTGCTCACTCACTGAAAGAAAAATTGAGAGAGAACAGTAAGATAGAAACAAAACATGAATCAGATGTGTGAAGAGGAGTTATTCAATGTCGAAAAAAACTGAATTAAGGTAAAACTGCTCACTCACTGAGAGAAAAATGGAGAGAGAACAGTAAGATAGAAACAAAACATGAATCCGGTAGAAACTTAACACACGATTCAACCAGGCCCGTGAAACGCACTCAAGTACCAACGCGGCTCAAGTGGACACGAAACTAACGATAGTAACCAACGGAGACTCACAAGGAAGCGTTCAAGTCCCAGATCTCCAGCTGTTCGCTTTTGATGGCGGCAAACACCGAGGGCCAGAGCGGGGACCACCTGGCGGACAGCACGGGACTCTGGATGGAGGTGAAGCCCATCACCGGCGTCAGGCAGCCCTCCTTCCACAGCTGGACGGTCCAGTCGGCGGAGCCACTCAGGAACACGTCGGGGCTGAATGGGGACCATTGGACTTGGTTGACGGGGCACTGCAGAGGCAAGGGGACGGAAGGGAGATGTCACGGAAGCATTTGCGGCAACGGAGTGTTGAGTGAGGGCCAGACTTACGAGGTGTTTCTGATAAAGGGCCAGGTAATGATGGTGGTTGGACACAGAGCACTTGTGGATGACACCCTCTGAAGTGCCGGCCAAGTAGATAGTGGGATCCTACGGGCAGGACCGATGAAATCTCGTCATCGGATCACACAACATTACTGCATAAAACTTCAACTTACGCTAGGGTGAAAATCCAAGCAAAGACCAGGCGTTGCAGTGGAAACCAGAATACCCTCTCTCTTGGTTTTGTTGCCTTCCGCCTTCTTGATGCCGTCTTGGATTCTCCTCAGCTCTAGCATGCCTGATGATCGATGCGATGCGAAAAAACAACAACTAAAAAACTGTCCTTGAAGGCTGACAAATAGATATGATGCCTGCAAATCATCTTTTGTCTGTCCATTGCACCAAGCTAATTATTGCCACGCGGTTACTATCAAACTAAACATAAAACAAGGAGAATTAAAACATTGTGTATGTTGAAACAACAACCTACATTTTCCTAATGAACCACCAGCGCTAACACACAATGCAAACAACCGCAAACGGGATAACTTATAGCATCACTGTTGGAGTGTTATGTACAGAACCCAACAGATACTTGAACGCAACTCAGACATATATTCTTGATCCTCTGCGAAGAGCAACCAACATGACTGCAGCTTACTGAGTGAATCGTGAAACTTCTTCAAAAGCGTGTTAATCCATCTATAATGTGGGAGGGGTGAAATTTTTCTTTTTTAATGTATTTGGTCACATGATATTGAACATTTTCAGCAATATCCATATCACCTGAGATGAAGAGAGATTCACGGTATCACAACAATCGCGGAAATTCAGCATTGTCTCCTACCGATGCCCTCCAGGCCGTGGCTGCACAGGAGCCACTTGAGGACATGTCCGTCCTCTGACACGGACATGACTGATTCGACCACATCCTCCTCGGAAATCGACATCTCCTGCCTGACCCAGGTGACGTGCCACACGGGATGAACGTGCCTCCTCCTGCAATCTCTTCACGAGACCAAAGAACACGGCATCAGGATGTGAAGAGATTTTTCAGGTGCTTGGGAAATGATCCAATTTAATTCGGGTGATCTATTTTTATATGAAAAGGCCACCGTGAGGTAGAAGCTGGACGTAGGCGAAAGGCTCGTCGCGACAAGTGCTCGCAACCTCACATGCTGCTGGCGAGGAACGTGCGGCTTTCTCGATCGGACACGCTGAAGATGGCGACCGTGCCGTCGTGCATCCCCACCGCCAACTTGTCGGGGTTGCTGGAGGAGAAATCCAGAGCCGTGATGCCACTGTGACAGTGGTATAGACGCTCTGGCCACTGCACACAGAAAGAACGCATTGGAATCAGTCAACGTGCGCTGAGTGCAATGTTGACAATGTCAATGTCGAAGTTCAAGTAGAAACATGACTCAAGTGGACACGTGATCCTGGAAATGAGTCAGCATTACATACTGGAATATAATCTACATACGCTCAGGTTCTTGATGGACCAGCAGCAGATCAGGCCTTTTCTCCCAGGGCTGAAGTCACCGTAGCCGACGGCCAGCAGATCCTGACAGGGAAAAAAAACCACACACACATACATGATTAGTGTAACTCATAAAAATATTGATCTGAGAAAATCTGCGCCATAGCTGGAGGATGAACGATGAACCGCAATATCAATAGTCCAGTGTCACTGTGTTCATATTGTACACTTCATAATGGGCCACATATTTTCAACCGGAGGCAGGTCTGGACTGCAGCCAGGCCCGTATTTACGATGTAGCCACACAGTTATAACGTGCAGAATGTGGCTTGGAATTGAGTTGCTGGAATAAGCAGGAGCGTCCCTGTAAATGACATTGCTAGGATTTCAGGACTAACACAACCCACACCCTCACAGATGCTGGGGTTTGAACTTTACGCTGATAACAATCGGGATAGTCAAATTTCCATTTTGATTTCCCAAAGCAATTCGAAATGTGGACTCATAAGACCATAGCACACTTTTCCGAATTGCGTCACATCCATCTCAGTTGAGCTCTGGCCAAGAGAAGAGAGCGGTGCGTCTGGGTGATGTTGTTGTATGGCTTTGCTTCTGCATGCTAGAGTTTCAACTTGCATTTGTAGGTGTTGCAATGAACTCTCTTAACTGACAATGATTTTCTGAAGTGTTCCCGAGCCCACGTGGAAATATCCTTGACACAACGATGCCAATTTTGAACACAGTGTCGCCTGATGGATCAACGTTGGCTTTCAACCTTGCCGCTTTGCATGCAGAGATTTTGCCAGATTCTCTGAATCTCAAAATGATATTACAGACTGTCGAAGACAAAATCCCCCATTTCCTTGCTATGATACATTAAGAAACATTGCTCTCAAACCGTTGCGCGATTTGCTCAGACGGTAGTTGACAAAGTGGTGAACACGGGAATTGGGGTTTGTACATCAAAGGGTTCCAGATGTCTTTCTTACCGTGTTCTGCTTGTTCCAAGCCATGCAGGTGATGTTCCATCCTTTGGTGAGCTCGCAACTAAATGTCCAGAGAAGTTCCAGAGAAGGATCTGGCTCTTCCTCCACCTCCTCCTCTTTTTCCTCTTCCTCCTTTTCCACTTCCTCCTTCTCCTCCTTTTTCACCTGCTCCTCGTCCTTTTTCACCTGCTCCTCCTCCTTTACCTCCGGTTCCTCATTCCCCATCTCACCCACTTCCTCCTCCTCATCGTCTTCCTCCTCGTCCTCCTTGGTGAGCTTCTCAGAGTCAGGCTTCGTTTCGGCGGGGAGTTCTTAAAACACAGCGGGCTCGTGACTACACTCAAAACAAACGTCTCCATTGGTCGGGCCGCTTGAAAACCTGCGCTACCTTTTATCTCGGGGAGGTTTCTATAAGCGGCCAGCCTGGGTTGAAAGATGTTGGCGACGAGGCAACGTTCCATGATCAGCAAGTTGCGCTGGAACGTTTCCGATTTGAAGATCACCTGCAGCTCGGGCTCGTCGCTCATATCGCCCCCTTGCATCTTGAACAGGGAGCTACCGGTACTGGCTGGGCACATGGGAGACAAAGTCAACAGAAGCCTCTTTCACATGACAAGCAGCATGGCACAAAGGCAAACCGCAATTCCAATGAAGTTGAGGCGCTGTGCAAAACGTAATCAAACGCAGAATTAAATATTTGAAAACTATTTTCAAACTATATTCAATTGAAGACACTGCAGAGACAAATTATTTCATGTTCAAAGTGATGAATGTTATTCTGGGTTGTTTACAAATATTCTCTCATTTTGAATGACTGCAACACATTCCATTCAATCAATTATTTCATCTTTAATTTGTCCTATTGTAGGTTAAGGAAAATCGACAGAGTAAATAAACACTGACAAAATTTTAAAGACATTCATTTTGTGGGTCACCGACAATGAAAACAAACCAGTGGGAAGCTGTTTTTTTTTTTTTTTTTTTGTAATTACCGGTGCCGACTGTGCTGATACTGCTGAAGCTTCCCAACCGCTTTGGATCTTTGCTAATGTCCACCATGCTTTCCACAGCGTTGGCCTTCTCCGCTTTCGGAGCTTCATTTTGGAACGAGTCGAATATTTCCCAGATGGTGGCGATGGTGCCTGTGTCAAAGGATTCCAACTCGAGCAAGCTGAACCAACAGCAGATCTGGTGTCGATCTTACCTTGATCGTGCATGACAATCTTTTCGCTCTGGACTTTTTTGTGTTTAGCCGCGCCGACGAACGTCTGCATGGCTCGCTCGACGTATTTGTCGTTGCCCAATCTGTTGTTGCACAGCTCAATATAGAGGATGTTGCTCTCCCTAAAGACACACACATGACGATACAGGCAGTGTTTTGGGACGTTTGCTCAGGGCTTCTATTTATTTATCAAGGAGTTGAAGAACGTTGCATCCATGTGAAAATGGCAGAAAAATCCCAGGGATCAAACTCTTGATGTGGGGCTGGCCAGAGAGTGATTAGGAGTGGCCATGACTACCACATAGCTCCGCCCCTGTTCATATTCATGATACTCCTTTCAAGAAAACACAACCTCAAGTACTGTTAGACAGGTGTCGGTCTGAAGTTATTTTTTTTTTTCAAGTAAAATATAAAATAAAAAGGGGTTTACTGACTTAGTGGCCTGAGCATTTTCAGCCTCCTCTGACATACAAGTGCTGGGCAGATCCAGAAGTATGATGGTGTCCGTCTCAGTCATGTAGATGCTCAACACCTCATCCAAAGGAATCTCCTCCGGAGTCTGTTGACTCACAACTTGTCTCGCTGTCTCTGGGAAGGGAGGAAAGCACGTAACAATATTGGTCCGTTTGCCATCCCGTCTAATTGTGAGGAAATAACAACCGAGTGGTTGGCTGGTGTCCAACTTGCTGAAGCCCACGCCACTTTGGGAGGCCAACGAGGCTCTGGTCGAAATGCTGGGCAGGCTGCTGTTCCACCTTGACCTGGAAAGCAAGAAAATATGTTGCACACGGTTAGTGGTAGTAGATTTTTCGTGACACAAATAAATTGTCAATTTCTTTACTATTTTGTGGAATAATGTGATACGTAGTGTTGTTTTTATTTCCTTTTCTGATATAAAGACAACTTAATTCACATAGCACATATCATAACAGCTGCAGCTGTAACAAAGCACTTTACATATAAGATTGTTACCCGGAAGAGGGGACAATGGAAAACGAGGAGGATTTGGAAGTGTCCCATCTGGAGTAGTAATCGTCAAAGAAGGATCGCTGCGGTTTGGCATGTGGGTCCTTGGGCTCGGGTTCATACAGGGGCCGAGGTGTGACATCATTGCCATCCTCATCCAGCACCTGCAAAGAGAAAGACACAAGGCACAAAATACGCCGCTAGCTGGAGAGAAATGTGCTGCTGTGTGGGTCTCACACACATCGTGACATGTTAACAACGTTACACTTTACTCTCGTATTATTTTACTTTTTGTCAACTTCTTTTTACACTTGTTTAAGAATTGAGAATGTTGATAAAACAAGATGTTCGTTTCAAAAATATATTTTTTTTTATTTCCCCAAATAAAATGTGATGTGCATTGTATTTGTTTTGATAATGTATCATCAATAATACATCATTCCCTCAAATAATGTGAGAGCAATTTTTCTGGACCTCGATGGTGAAAGTGTACCTAATGAAGACTAGAGGAGAGACCAATGACGTTACCCTAATGGCTTTCCTCTGAGCTAAGCTTCGACCCATTTTGCTGTCCGAAAGCATCCTGGAGCCTTTTCGGCTATGGAAACCCGCGAAGCTCCCTGTGTATCTCGAACTGTGGAGGACTCGCTGCATCCCCGAAGTGGATCTTTTCATCGCCCGAGAGGAGCTGCAAGTCAAAAAGGAACAAAAACGGTCAGGTTGGCATTAGCATTAGCGGCAAGTTTGATTAAGAGTTCAACAGATGGTCAACACTATCCATGTACATACGCGGTTAGTGTTGAGCTATTTCGCTTCATCTTTTCGTTTTCTGTTTGTTACAACGTAGACTTTCAACCTGGATTTGAGATGTCACGTAAATTTACCCTGAGTGTTTTTATTGGGTTTTTGAAAACGCTTGTTAATCTGGTTACCAAGACAACGAAAGGAGCAGCATTGCGCATGCGTACTACATGCATTGAAAATGCGTTTGGGTTCTTGTTTTTCTTTTTTATTGTATTCTATGAAACAAAAAACACTATACTATGATTTTATTTTACTAACCCTAACCCTAACTATTTCATATAAAAAGATAAAATAATACTTATTGAATATAGTACAGAACATTATTTTTTTCAGCGAGAAACAGTGGAAGAGTCACAGACCAAAAGTGAAATTAAAAAAATGACTACAGGTATTATACGAATGGAATCTTTGTTGAATATGTTGTCTTGGGTCCATAGTATATATTAAAGTATCTATACAATTGAATATAATTAAATTGTTTCCTAATGAGGAGACAAGGGTGTATTGTGATCACCCTGAGTGGCGGAAATGGTATTACCCTCTCTTTTTTTCAGCGATGCCAAGGCAGTGTTAATTGTATGCGCCTTAAAAAAATAAACTCTTAAATCATCCGAATATGTACATATTATTAAACACATCATTAACTTCTATATGCGTAATCACATTGTCTTTTATTTTGGGATAAGATATTTCAAAATGACAACATTAATTTATATATGGGGGGCAACCGGGTGGTCCAGTGGTTAAAATGGTTTGACCTAAAATTTACGAGCCAATCTGGCCAAGCACTTCCGGGTTCCTAGCCTCCTTCTGTCACGTGATCTGCGCATCAGAGCCCCCCTTCCCCCCTTTCTCCTCTCGCAACTATTATCCTCCTCCTCCTCCCAGGGATTACACGGTGCCTGTGCGCCTGTAAGGACCGTGGAACAGCTTCTATACCCGCAACAAAAATCTCGGTCGCTTCGGCGGGAAGTCGAAGACACTGTAACGCCAGCACCATGTCCGCCAGCTCGGCCTTCAACGACGAGAAAGGGGGCTCCTCCAGCGTCGGGGAGCCCGAATATGGCCACGATCCGGCGAGCGGCGGGATTTTCTCCTCGGACTATAAAAGGTACACCTGCGCTAGCTTCGGAGCCAAATGTTCATATTCACGTCCATTTTGAGCGTTATATCTATTCCAACATCTGGCCTGAATCGAGCTAGCTCCAATCGAATGCCCTCCACCATCTCCGTATTAGCTGTATGCGATTGGTTGCTGGTCGTGATTTGGTTCGCTCGAACGTTCTCCCTGCGGTCATGTGAGCTGATTCAAAATTCAAGATAAAAAAATATAACAACAAGAAGAAAGTAGCTTGAATTCGTTTACCATTAAATGGACATTGTAAATTGGTGATATGAAACGTAATAAAAGTCCGTTTTAAAAGGATCCCCGCCAGGCCTCAACTCCATTTTATTCAGCACCATCGCTACTGGACAGCAACCTCCTTTTCCGAAACACTCATTCAGTGAACCCGCGCATATTCACGGATTGGCATTCGCGATCTTTTTAGGGCAACGCATCCTTCATTGGACGCACCCACAACCGGCGCGTTAGAGGTCGACACATTGTTTTGTTTTGTTCCAGTACATGTCGGGTTTTTGAACAGATAATTTTGATAGCAAGTGTCGAAACATGGTGAATTACGAAACGGTATTTGGCGGCAGTGGCGGAGGTAAACTTTTATCCTAATGAGGTTAGGGTGGGGGCATGGAGTGGCCAAGGCTATCTCATGGAGTCCACAATGAAAAAACTTATCAAGTCAGGAAAAAAACAAAACCAAAACAAAACTGTTACAGAGTGGCATTTTACATATGTAGATGTACTAAATAAGTTGTGATGAAATACCGGGAATCGTAATGACACAGCACAGTAAAATAAGTTATTTGCTCATTCCAGCTTCGTGTTGGATGGTTGCATGGTGGATGAGTCCTTAGCAAGGTTGGGGTTGCAGGTTCAAGGCGCTGGTCTTACTTTTTAGAGTTAGTGTTGTTTTTGTCCTTGCTTGTGTGACTTTTTTAGCGGTGGTTTCATCCCAAGTTCCAAAAACATGCATGTCGTGTCCAGTGAATATTCGTAATCGTCCACGTGTAGGTGTGTGAGTGCAAATTGGATGGATGGATGAAGCCGTGTCACGTTTCTTTCCTACCAGTAGAGGGAGCACATTCCTTGTTGAGGTCAGAACTTGGGTTTGTGAAATCTGACCTTTGTCTGTTTGAGTACCAGTTGCCATTATTTTTATCTGTGGTTGCAGTTGTCCTGTCGATTTGTGGTACAATCCCCAATTCAAGTGAAGTTGGGACCTAATTTAAAAAAAACCCTATTGCAACTATTCACTCATTTGGAATTGAGTGCCTGCAGCACATTCCCAAAGGAGTGGGACAGGTGCAGGTTTACCACTGCGTTGCATCACTTTTCCATTCAAAAATGCTCAATAAGCATTTGGGAACTGAATGCACGAAGCGGTGAAAGTGTGAATTGCAAAATATAGTTTGGCATCACAGATGTGCAAGTTACCCATGCCATGGGTACGATCACACCCTCTTACCGTCCCAGATGCTGGGTTTTAAACTGGGTGCTGATAAACAATCCCGATGTTTTTTTTTTTTTTGGCTTTGGGCTGGAGGACATGACATTCATGATTTCCAAAGACAATTTGAAATGTGGCCTCGTCCGACCACAGCACATTTTTCCACTTTTCAACCACGATACTCGACCTGTTTCCAATTAACCTGTTCACCTGTGGAATGTTCTAAAGAGTTTCTTTTTTTTTTTGTCCCAGCTTTTTTGGAACGTGTTGCGGGCATCAAAAGATTTGCAAATCATTGTATTCTATTTTGATTGATGTTTTTCACTTCCTCAACCTCATTGTGTTTGAGGTTTGTATATATGCTCTGGAGTGTCTGCAGGTGAACCAGTTTTGATTCACCATCTTTTTGTACTGGTTTTCCATACAGATTCATGAGAACTTTGACAACTGTGACTGGAAATTTATGTGCTGTTCACCAAGCTTTCGGGTATTTGGGAGTCTTTCCCAATACAGTCAAACACAATTTGTTAGGCATTCACTGGTCCATCGCATTGTGTGATCTGTAGGAAGGTACTGTATTTATGGGTTTTGTTCAACCCTTTCGGTTGTGCAGACATGATAAGCTTGTCCCTCTGCTGTTGTATTTGTTTTCACCCGAAGATGATGGTCTATAGAACAGCAAGCGTAACGTTTGTTATCGGTTGATTTCTGAAAATGTGTCTGTGAGTTAACTGTTGTGAATTTTAGTGAATTGTGACATCAGCAAGTTTTTTTGTCCAGGACTTGGCAGCGACTCTGGGCAACGATCTGCCACTTTCAAGCGCCACCAAGTCACACACACTCAAAGTCACGTGTGGTGTGTTACGTGAAGATGGCGACCCCACTGCCTCTCACATGCACCTTTTGTTGTTGAATAACGCAGTCAGTTGCTATTCACTTTCCTTGATTTATAAACGGGATCATCGCTAAGGTCTACATTCAGTGTGCTAGTATACATTCAATCGGTGCAGACCTAATTAAAATGCCTGAAAAATGAATCGTGTCTCCTTTGAAAATTAAGCTTGCAGCTCAAGCCGACTGAGCTTTGGCACATCACAGCAGGACTCCTTTTCACCCTGTTTGCGGGGGGAGGGAGAGACTGCCGAGAAGGCTGCTGAGTCATGTTAAATGAAGAAAACACCAGGTTTAAAAAAAGCTGCCATGGTTATAATGAGTAAGGGGATTCAAGATCAAAAAAAAGCTGTCAATGGTTGCGGGAGGCAGAGCTGAAAGTTGCGACGTGTCATCATGAGCGCGCTTCTGCATTTTGTGCGCGCGTGCGCCTGTGTGTGCAATGACTGAGCGACAGGGAGAGGCCGGCTCTGCAACAGCGAGCACGTGAACAGCGGGGAGGGGTCGCCGTGAACTCCACGCCCCTCTGTGACGAGCATCCTTTTTACAGAACGGCTGATGGCAGCTTGGCCAGACGCAGCGGCAACAGCGGCAGGAGTAGGAGCAGGAATGGAAAGCATCCCCCGGCAATCAGATTCGGATTACCGTGTCCCCGTCGCCACGGAGATGTCTTTTTTCTTTGCAGGAAGTGGAGCACTTCTGGAGAGTCTTGTTGCGTCATCCCCGCGTGAGATATCTACATTGGACTAGAAAATCGTACTTGTGACATTCAAGCTGTTTTGGAAACAACACGAGAGGAGCTACCGGCCTCTCTTGCTTCAGCGCTTTAACGGGGGGTTTGCCAAATTTTTGTTAAAAAATTTTAAAAAACAGAAGATGACCGCCATGCAGAAGCTGCTGCAGCTGCCCGTAAGCGCGGTAAACATGGTGAAGACGGTGCAGAGTCAGGTGCAGGGCCACGAGGAGGACAAGAGCCCGGTGCTCACCCCCGATGGCGGGCAGCAGACCTGGTACAGCGCCCTGAGGCCCGACGAGTTGCGCCACCTCCGCTCAGGGAGCAGCAGCGCAGGAGGAGGAGGAGGAGGTGGATGTGGTGGCGATGGAGGAAGAGATCAAGAGGAACGAGCACCACTGGAGGAAGGTGGCGGCGGTAACGGGAGCTCACAAAGTCAACCTTTGCGGTAGGATGGTCGCCACAATCCCAGATGTGCTGGACTATCAATGAGCTTCAATCCTTGGAAGTGGCATAGACCTGTGGATGAATTTGGTCATCAATTAGATCTCGATTAATCGATTGTTGGACTGCTTAAATTAGCCGTTTAAAAATAAGAGAATGACTACAAGGCTCTAAATATTTTTTTTCTTTGCGGACCAATCTTGCAAATCGATGGCTTCTTTTGAGGAGCAACTTCCTAATTTTGTGGAGGTTTTTTTTTTGGGGGGGGGGCGTTGCCAGCTATTTTGCTGTCCCAATTTGCATGTTCTCAGTCAGATTTCTGGGAACCTTGGACTCCATCATCCAAGCACTTAATTGTGGTGTTAAATACGCTAGCTGTGCCAGTTTTAGGTTAGCTTAGCATTTAGCATGTCGTTTCTATCTTTTCTCGTCATCCCTTCCTGATTCTGATACTCAGAAATGCAGCTCATTCGCCGCCATACAGGCAATAAACACACTGACTTCGGAGCAACTCCTTAGTGTGTTTAGGCGCATTTTATTTAGTTATTTTTAGACGACGCTGCTCACAAGTTATGATATTTTGGGCAGACAACGCGCTCAACTGATCTGTTAGCTTGGTCGTCCCGCATAATAGCCAGAACACAAGAAGCAAAACAATGCAAGCGAGGTGTCTCAAGCCTAATTTGAATATTTTTGTAAATTTAGAAACTTTGAATGTTTCATCTGGGTCATGCAAATACATATTTACTGGTTTTCTGTGGGGAAAAAAAGAGTCACAACGTTGTCCTACTGTCGTGCAAACGTTCCAGGTGGAGAGTGCCTTTTTCAGGTAACCAGAGACCCAGCGCGCTGCCTTGGTTAAATAATTCAGACCTGTTGGTCGATCCAGAATTCAAGAGGCAAGAAGTTGGTGTCAAATTATTTCCAGCGCTTTGGGAAGAAGAAACCCAACCTCAGTGTAATTTTCTTTCCTAAAGTGAGATTGATATGAACATAACATACCTTCTGTAATGATGGCCCCAAAAATTCAACCGTTTTCTTAAACGCTGCTGTGGGATGGGGGTCCACTTGTCAAACAGGAGTTCATGCAAGAGAGCCAAGGCGGCTGTGCAGATCACTCCAAATCAAACAGAACGCATGAGCCCGATTTCAGTCTTTCGACTTCTAAGTTTCTAACAGAACTCAATTTCCTCATTTTGAAACGTGGATTTTCATCCCAGACTGTGAATGGAGATATTCGGTTACCACTGGTTGCAGAATCCCTTGTCAGAATCTCTCTGCATTACCTTTCATGGCCACTTGGGGTCGGACTGATTTAGACCCATTGACTTTACTACTCTGCATTGATTTCTCAAGGTGGGTGTTGACAAAGCATGGTCTGATGACCAGTAATGAGCTCAGGGCATAGGGTAGAATATGTTTGGCTGCATGCAGAGTTGAGTAAGCAAGCCCCTTCTTTGAAGTTAATTGGGGCGAGTTCTTTTTCTATTGAGCAGAGAGGGGAGGGGTGAGCGTTTGAGCAGTTACGCAGAGGAGGAGGGGGGGTAGCACGACCAGAGAGGCAATGCAAAAATGTATGTAACGGATCTGTTCTAAAAATAGCTTACCTGTGATGAGACAGACGCTATGATTGAGTAAGAAGAACTAAAACAGAAGAAGAATGTTCACATTTATTTACGCATTTCTTAATGTGTTCGATCCCTGTGGAGTTCTCATCTTTCCAATGATGTCCTGGCAGGATCTCTGGACATTCCCTTCTTTCATCCAATGTAGGAGATGCCGCCCCACACCAACCTGGTCACGCATTGCTGTGAGATGGCATGGCCACCCCTTGTGTAGTTTGGCACCACCCTCTGCCAGATGACCCCTGGTTACACAATTTCATGTCCATATGCGTCTACACGGTTTCCTTCAATGATGACAAGCCTCGTTTTTCCAGTGATGGAAATGCCGCACGACAACATCACCGGGCCTCCACCGCAATGTGATGCTCAGTTGATGCAATAATCAGCAATGCGATCGCCCCATCTACTCCAGCCGGTCTTTTTGGGTGTGAAAATTCGTATGTGAGCCTGCAGCTTTCCTTTGAATAAGAACCTGTTCATCCGTGCCAGTCAACAACTATACAAATCCCAATCATGGTTGTAAGTTAATTAGTCGGCGCCATTATACAAATGAGCTTTCGTTGTTTGGGCGGTTGTGATGGTCATATTTTCCATCCCCGGATGCCTGCATTTGAAATTCATTTTGCTGCGCATATGGTTACCGTGGAAACTGCTCTGCTATGAATGAGCCTTGGACAGATTTTTGTACAATTTGCACCTTAACACCATAATTGATGATTGAGTGTCCAGGAAAGTCACTGGAAAGAACCTATAGCCCAAAAGACTCAGAAATCTGCCATTTTGGTTTGAAGTGGCCATTTTCAGGGTTCCTTCAAAGATGCATTAGTTAAAGATTTCAATCAATTTCAAATCAATTACCGTGGTTCCTTGACTCGTGAGTTTTGGATTTATGCGCCATCGTTGAAAAAGAAGCTTCAAGCCGTTTGATGCCACTCTCAGACACTTGATCTTTACTGTCAACCTAAAAATCAAACAAAGAAAATGTTACTTGTGTTTAAATATAGCCAGACAACATTGTCTTCAGAATGGCTAGCTTAATGCTAACATATAATTGAAAACGCCATTGGCATGCCAACAGTTAGCATAGCATCAATAGTTGTCGTTTTAGAACCCTTCAAGCTATTAAAGGATATTTCAACACAAACAAGTAGACAGTATAATAAAGTTCACAGGCAGATATTATTTATCCTTTGCAAGAAAAAAAAAGACAAAAGCTTACTTAGTTGTGAAACTCTTCTTTATGGGTGCTATATCAATATTATTGGAACATTACGTAGTTTGGGTATTAACACTGGCGTTAAATAAAGGAAATTAACGCAACTTCATGATTCGAATAAAAGGTATTGCATTTTAAATTAAATCAAAATGGTATCAATAATAACATTAAATGCAAATAATAATAAAATATAATAATAATAATAATGCATCCAATTTATATGTATTTATTTTTCAATTGAAAAAATACGTTTCAGCACAGTTGAAAAGAAGAATTACTTCTTTCAGTCGCAAACGTTGAGAATCACCACACCAGACAAATGAGCGACACTAAATCGTGAGCAATTTGATTTTCTGTCATCGCGTGTGGCGGCGAAGTTTGATGGCTCGCCATAAAACACAAAACGCTCATAAGTCAGCTCCACAAAGTCGGAGCTTGAGCAAAACGCCTCGCGTGCGACCGAGGTGCCGCTCTCAAGAGATTCATCGCTTTGTGGCAAGACGTAATCACGCTTTGTACTCAGGCTGAGTCTTCCATCCAAACTGCGCGATTTTCTTCCCTTGCAGACACGACGACCTGAAGGAGATGCTGGACAGCAACAAAGACTCTCTGAAGCTGGAGGCCATGAAACGCATTGTGGCAGTGAGTAATCATTTCTCTTTGTGGGATTTCACGAAAAAAAACACAGCTTGCTCCTTCAACGCGCACGGGCCCGGGAAGACGAGCTGTTTGCTTTGCCGCAGTTAATGTCCCGAAACTTTTAAGACACTCACTCACTGGAAGCGTTTTAGAGCATAAACTGCGGCGGCAAAGATACAGTCGGCTGTTAAATATTCATCATGCTGCCGCGATCTGCTCGTTCCGTATCCCCGCTGGAGCGAGTTTGTGCAAAGCTTGAGAGTGAAGCGATACGCCGTCAAAGTCCACATTCCCTGCGTGTGAAATCCTGACTCAGTGCTTTTGTGTTGCCCCACAGATGATCGCTCGAGGTAAAAACGCGTCAGACCTCTTCCCTGCGGTGGTGAAAAATGTGGCTTGTAAAAATATCGAGGTATGCATCATCCGCTCCTCCTCCTCTGTGGAATTCTTTGCGCCAGCTTGATGCATGAGCATATTTTGCACAGCCTCTTGGTTGGAAATTGCACTTTTCTTCACCTCGCCGTGCCTTTCATCAACGTGTTGCTTTTTGCTTGGCTTTTGCAAGGAAAATAATTGCATTTTCTTATGTCTCCCTTTCTGCTCGCAGGTGAAGAAGCTGGTCTACGTTTACCTCGTGCGCTACGCTGAAGAGCAGCAAGACCTCGCCCTGCTCTCCATCTCCACCTTCCAGCGAGGCTTGAAGGTACAAAACAGGAGGTGGTGCTATTGTTTGTCCATTTATTTGTTTGTTAAGACCAGTTTCTGTTTTTTTAAGGATGGCAGGTAGTGCCAATAGGATTTTTTTTGGGGGGGTGGGGGGCGTCTGGATTGTCAAAGTTGTTCTAAACAAAAAATAAATGTGACCAAAATGAAGATTTTAATTACTGTATTGTCACTCTAATGGTAAAAGAAATACATTCGGGATTTGTCAATGGGAGCTTCGACGAAGGCTGAAGTGACAGCTGAAACTGTCAGCTCAGTAAGAGATTTTCTTTTCACCAAAAAAGAAACAAAAAAAAACGTTTTTAGCTAATAAGAAGACAAGATGAACATCATAATGCTTGCCTATTTGGTGTTGCTGTCCCCTACCAGATGGCCGCCAGACAATGACTCGATGACCCTCAGGGACACTACATGACTACACATGACTCTGTGCTTTCATAGGATCCCAACCAACTGATCAGAGCCAGCGCGCTGCGAGTTCTGTCCAGCATCCGAGTCACCATCATCGTTCCCATCATGATGTTGGCCATTAAAGAGGCTGCTTCGGACATGTCTCCGTACGTCCGGAAAACTGCTGCCCACGCCATTCCTAAGCTCTACAGGTGCGCTTCCTCGTGATGGGCCTATTTTAGTTTCCTGCTCTGGCAGGAAAATCCATACGCTTGCGTCCAAATTGTGTCTGCCATTGATCCTTGTGAATCCTCAGTCTGGATCCAGACCAGAAGGACCAGCTGATTGAAGTCATCGAGAAGCTCCTCGCTGACAAAACCACTGTGAGTGTTTGTTTTATTTTTTTTTAAATTTTTTCCCTTCATATTTTCTACTCACAAATTGACCCAGCAAAACAAAATGAACACCAATTAGCGACTGAGCAGCTTCCCTTAGCCATCCCCTTTCACTTCGAGATCATGGCAAGCAAATTGTTGCAACTGAAAATTATTTGCACAGTTTCACTATCCTATTCCCAGCAAATCGTCGGGTTTCACTGTATCCCCGTTTCACTGAACCCCGGCTTCACAGCTGGTGGCAGGCAGCGTGGTCATGGCCTTTGAGGAGGTGTGCCCGGAGCGGATCGACTTGATCCACAAGAACTACAGGAAACTGTGCAACCTCCTGATCGACGTGGAGGAGTGGGGCCAAGTGGTCATCATCAACATGCTGACGCGCTACGCCAGGACACAGTTCCTCAACCCCAACATCAATGTGAGTTCCGTCAATGACGATTCGCGCTGCTGCTGTAACTGAACTCTCTTTATTTATTGTTGTGTTACGAGTAGACGTCTTGTAACTATTTTACTTGTAGATGCTTTCTTTGCATTTTTGCAAATCTAGAAAAGCTTTATGTACAACCAGTGTAGTCGCGCTAGTAGGAGACACAAGCTCTGTCAAATTTTAATTTTAGAATATGCCGCAGGCTGCAAAATACCCAATGGCCCCAGAATGCAGTCGTCCCAGATAAATATATGAAACTGTAATTGTGTGGGTTTTTTTTTTTTTTTTTTCATGAAAAGAATTTAATTTCAATCTAAATTGTCCCCGGCTGAAACGAACCTTCATCAGTTTTCTCTCTTCCATTTTTTTTTTTCCACATAGGAGTCCCTACTGGAGGAGGGCGGGAGCGGCGACAAGACCTTCTACGGCTCCGATGGCAACGACGACGACGACGAAGACGAGGAGGACAAGGAGAAGAAGGCCGAGGCCGCCGCCCTGGCCAAGCGGAAACCTTACGTGATGGATCCCGACCACCGGCTGCTGCTGAGGAACACCAAGCCGCTCCTGCAGAGTCGCAACGCAGCTGTTAGTAAAACACCCCCACCTCCCCCCACCACCTGCATCATTAGCACACATTATTCAACGTGGAGCCGCAGTCATGGTCTCCAGAGACTTGACTTCTGTTCAAGCTTTCATGTGAACAAGATGTTGGAGTGCCCTCCAGTATGATCACTCTCGGGTGAGGATACTTTCTCAAAGGAAATCTGGCAATTAAACACAATTAATAACTCAAAATAAAACCTACGCAAGCCAATATAAGGAAATGAGACTTTACTCTTGACGTCCTTGCCCACATGCTCGGGCATTACTGGACTGTACCTTTATTTGCCGCATTTCTTTTTTTTTCATTTGACTCGAGTGGCAATATAGCTGAAGTTCACTTGTGACTCAAATTTTTAGCTCGCAACATATTTGGTGGCCATTCTTTGTGGCGTATTTCCACTTTTTCTTGAAGATTTTACATCAAATATTGCTGACGTTCTAACAGGAAAACAGCTGGCCCAAATTCATCCATCTATCCATCCATCCATTTTCGAATCCGCCTACCCTCACGAGGGCCGCGGGCATGCCGGAGCCTAACCCAGCTGTCTTCGGGCAGTACGCGGGGAACACCCTGAATTGTTTGCCAGCCAATCGCAGGTGCCCAAATTTAATAGAATTAAATTGAACACCTTCTCCAACTGCTCCAGCAACTTAAAAAGACAAAAACAAAAACAGTGAGTTAAATTCCGGAATAGTTTTCACGTCGTGTTCAGTCAGACAATAAAGGAGGCCGACAGTGGTCGCAATTTATTGATTTTTATTTCTCTGATTAAATCACAACCGGCAGACCACAATTTTTTATTTTTTTTTGTAGCTGCTCGAGTGTTCCATTTGCATCTCTCTGCCACAGGTGGTGATGGCCGTGGCTCAGCTCTACTTCCATCTCGCTCCCAAAGCGGAGGTCGGCGTGATCGCCAAGGCTCTGGTGCGTCTTCTGCGGAGTCACAGGTGAGCTCCAACACGTTTGACACCAGCACGATTTCTCTTTTTCTCCACCTTTCAACCCGTGTTGGCTTTTATTCCAGTGAAGTCCAGTATGTTGTTCTTCAAAACGTGGCCACTATGACCATTAAAAGAAGGGTGAGTCACGCACAGACAATTTGTATGTCTGCTTATGAATGAATGAGAAAATTGCAATCTCTCTCTCTCTGTTCTTTCTCGTAGGGGATGTTTGAACCTTACCTGAAGAGTTTCTATATCCGCTCCACAGACCCGACACAGATAAAAATCCTGAAGGTTATTTTCGCATTCATATATATTTTTTTAACCTTCAAAAGTTGCTCATGTATGCGAGCATTTGCCACGCAACTGCTATATTCTTTTTATTTTTTTTGCAGCTGGAGGTTCTCACCAATCTTGCCAATGAGACAAACATCTCCACGATTCTTCGAGAGTTTCAGGTACAAACTTTTTAACCCATTTGAAAAGCTCAACATCAACAACAAAAAAATGCGCGGGTGTTTTTCTTGCCCTCGCCAGACATACATCAAAAGCGTGGATAAAGACTTTGTGGCCGCCACCATCCAAGCCATCGGCCGCTGCGCCACCAACATCGGAGAAGTGAGGGACACGTGTCTGAACGGCCTGGTGCAACTGCTCTCCAACAGAGACGGTGAGTACAGTATGTTGAACCCCGACGTGCACATAAACGCGAATGCGCCCAAGTTGCCACGGCGACAGCGAGTAGCGCCTCATCCACGTGTGTCTCGCGGCGGCAGAGTTGGTGGTGGCTGAGTCGGTGGTGGTGATCAAGAAGCTGCTGCAGATGCAGCCCGAGAAGCACAGCGACATCATCAAACACATGGCCAAACTGACGGACAACATCCAGGTGCCGATGGCGCGGGCCAGCATCCTGTGGCTGATCGGGGAATACTGCGAGCACGTGCCCAAGATTGCCCCGGATGTCCTGAGGAAGATGGCCAAGTCCTTCACCAACGAGGAGGACATTGTCAAGCTGCAGATACTCAACTTGGCCGCCAAGCTCTACCTCACCAACTCCAAACAGGTACAGTAACTACCACAGGGATTAAAAGGTGAATACACTGGAATGTCTCTGAGGTTACGTGGTTTGTGGTCCATTTACCGTTTGAATCTTAGTATCATTTAAATATTAATTTTGGCCGGTGGGTGCCAACCAGTGTGCCGTGGCACATTAAAAGATCATCAGGTGTGCCACGCATTTCACTTCATTGGTCCCAAAATTAGTAGGGATGCTCGATACTGTGTCTGCACTCGTAGAAAAGCACCGAGACCGCACACATTTTTAGGAAATGTGATATTCTCTCGAGGCGAGCATGAATTTATTTTTACTAACCTTGTTTTGGAAAGAACCCACAGCGGTAAAGTGCCATCAAAATTCCTACAGCTTGTTTTCTATCCACCAGGCAGGCGTACTTCTTCATCTCTCATCTTTCTACTTATTAAAAATAGTGCCCCCTGGTGTTCAGACTGCAACACCAAATATTCCAACAGGCTACATTTCTGGAAAATAAATGACTGTGGGCAAAATATGCAGTTGGATGTTAAAGTGGGTCATGATAAGTTGCTACTCTAAAAAGTGTTAAGTTTGAGTCAAAGTTTGTATTTTTCTGTATTTATCACCAATATTTGGTTGCAAGATGTCATGGCATGATCAAGTATCGGTACGCAGAAGGTACATAATTAGCCTGTGTATCCACATTTCGTGACATATTTTTGGTTGTTTTGCCATGAGGTTTTTTTTTTCTCATGTGAAATATGTGACTTGGCTCCATAACACTGACATAGACAATTACAGTCTCGACATTTAGCCTCTTCACCTCATGCCTGCCCGCCACAGACCAAACTGTTGACGCAGTATGTCCTCAACCTGGCCAAGTACGACCAGAACTACGACATCCGCGATCGGGCGCGCTTCATCCGCCAGCTCATCGTGCCCACCGAGAAGAGCGGAGCCCTCAGCAAATACGCCAAGAAACTCTTCCTGGCCCTCAAGCCTGCGCCTGTCCTGGAATCTCCGTTTAAAGGTACAGGGGCAGGTCAAGAGCAGCAAGGGTGAAGACGCTCTCTATTTGGACCTCATCCGCTTTCCCCCTCTTGTGTAGATCGAGACCACTTCCAGCTGGGCTCGCTGTCCCACCTGCTGAACGCCAAAGCCGGCGGCTACCAGGAGTTGCCCGACTGGCCGGAAGCCGCCCCAGACCCCTCCGTGCGCAACGTGGAGGTGAAGGAGTCTGTGCGTGCAGTGGCATTCAGTAACACACAGAGTCACACACAGTCAGGATGGGCGCGAGTGTGGCTCCTGCTTTGAGGCGAACGACATAACGCGGATGGTGGCGCTCATCCGTTCACTCCCTCGTCACGTCATACGTTGCCGGTTATGGACTTGATTCGCTCTCTGCAGCAGCTCACTCGCTCCCCTGCCTGCCATCTTGTCACCCATTTTTTGAGCCAATAGTACATGGCCTACTTCTTTCAAGCAAATACTATTTGACGTGTGACATATTTTCATGTACAGTGGATCCTCCAAAATTGGGCATATTCTTCAACCCGTCCCCCCCCAAAAAAAAATACCCTCAACATTTTTGATAACAAAATAGCGTTGAGCAGAATTACTTGATCCTCATGATTTCTTATTTCACTCCCCATTGACATTGCTGCTACCGCTGATGTGCATGACAGCCACTAGGTGGCAGTATAATGCACTTATAATAAAGGGAGACCACTCACGGCCCACCGATTACTTTTTGAGGGTGGCCAATCTAGCATATGGTTGGTAATTTGTGATTGACAGTTATTAATTGTATTGATCCTATTGTAATGAACGACCGGACGAGTTCCCATTTTGCTGTAAACGTTCAGTTTCTGGTTCTTCGATTATCGTCACACTTTGCCATTACTGGTACCCTTCAGCGATGACGAAAGCCAAAGAAAATGAGATGGATTTATGCTTTAAATGTGACTTTTGAGGCATATATTTCCAGAAACGTGGTTCAACTGTACCACTTTTGGGTTGTCTGACAATGGGAGGCTCCACAGTACACTCTTTTTATTGATACATGGTATGCAGGTGTATTTCCATTTAATATTGTTGAGAGCACCTGTGTGGAAAGTTTTCCCATCTCAGTCTGTCCATGTGCCATTGGTTCCTCATAAACGCTAACTTGTCTGAAAATGCAAACTTGAGCGCCACTTCTTGATGTCAAAATCACGAGGCAATCCACAGAACGCCACGGCCCCTCTTGATTTTGATTTGAAGAGGCGTGATCAAGTTTTGGTTCATTTTATGATTGCTATGAACCAATTTTATAGATTTCTACTCCCATGACCCGCTGTTAACCTGACATCGACTTGTGATGCAGATCTCAAGATGAGGGAGGTCGGCGCTGTGCTCTGATTGGTTGCGGGGAATCCGTTTAGAAGCATTCCCCACTTTTGGTTCAAGATTTTCTCAAAATGGCAGTCGTCTGCTCTTCTTTAAATTCTGAAAAGGGGGCAGGGTGGGGGGGCTCACATTCTCCAAGAGCGAGGACCCTTCCTTAAAGGTTCTCTCACCTCATCCGCAGATAGAGGAAGTCATAACTACTGGCGAGGGGAGAATCGGCCTGCTGGGAGACTGGCGAGAGGTTGGCTGGCTGTGGGCGTGCGCTGATTGTTTTGCCTTTTTTTTTCCCCTTTGACAGCTTTGTACCTTTTACTCGCTTTTCACTCATGATGGACTTTCAATTGCGGAATTACGAACAGGCAAAAGACACAAAGGAACACGCCGAGCCCCATAGGTGATCCAGCCAAGGTCTAATTAGGCTTGGAAATTTCTCAATGCGGTTTTACAAACAAACTATTGCATTAAATAACCTTTTCACCATTTTCAAATGTATTGACATGCACCTGTAATTAATATTAGACAAAAGTCAAGAAGTGCAAATCACACAAGAGTCCCGGTTGAATCTAAACGCAGGGTTAGGAAGTCGACAGACCACCTTCAATATTTCCTCCTCTGCATCTTATGTCGTTTTGCATGACATTTGTGAGGTGACTTTGGAGTTTTATCTGAGTGGAGTGATGTGATTTTTCTGTCCCAGCTTGTGACGTCTTTCCCCCTTTGTCTCCTTTCCAAACATCGTTGGTCTTATTGCCACGTGAGACGCACGCAGCGCATTCACGTGAATGAATCAAGCGCTCTGCAGGTCGCCATCTTGAAATTGGACAATTTGACCCGAGGTGGTTCATGGCTCATTTCTCAACCTAATTCGTCAATTGCTTAATTTCATTTACATTTTGTTGGTGTGTGTGTGTGGATTTTTTTTTTTTTTTGGCTCCATTGAAACCTTTTCGATCCGTGACCGTTTAATACCCCGGCAGCCACGTGTAGGAAATGATTAACATGCAGTCAAAAGTAACTATTGAACAAGTACAAAATAAGCTGTAATTTTTGTTTTCATTAAAAAAAAATATTTACAAATATAGTTTGAAAAAAATATTTAGAGATATATTTCATTTCTTTATTTATTTTACATTAAAATGCGTTACTGCAAGTAAATTAAACGTTGATTTCATTGTTATTTTGGATCAAATGAAATTGATCCATGACCGTTTAATACCCCAGCCACGTGTAGGAAATGATTAACATGCAGTCAAAAGTAACTATTGAACAAGTACAAAATAAGCTGTAATTTTTGTTTTCATTAAAAAAAAATATTTACAAATATAGTTTGAAAAAAATATTTAGAGATATATTTCATTTCTTTATTTATTTTACATTAAAATGCGTTACTGCAAGTAAATTAAACGTTGATTTCATTGTTATTTTGGATCAAATGAAATTGTGTCCCGTCTTTCAACATTTTAACTTTTCTTCGCAAGTTTTGGGCGCGGGCCCGAGTCAATATCATTAGAATATAAACGTGCGGCAGCAGTACGATCTAAATTGCCTGAAATAAAAGAAACAAACGGAGACTGGAAGAAAACAAATGTTGAACGCCACAGCTGTAATTTTTATTTTCATTAAAAAAATATATATATTTACAAATATAGTTTGAAAAAATTATTTAGAGATATATTTCATTTCTTTATTTATTTTATGCCGATATCTCCTCTCATGTGTGTTTTTTCCCACCTTTCGAGGTTCCACTGTCTGCTTTTATTGTAAGGTGGGCCCACGAGAGTACATTTGTGCTTCATTTTTGTCTCCGTATTTAACTGTTGTCACAGTTTCCCCCTTCTAGATCCAGAAACGTTCCTGTGCTTTATGTCCTGATGTTTTTTTTAAATTATTATTTAAATTTTGTTCTCTCAAATCTCCCCCCATCTCACTTCCATCCCCCATCTTTCTTTTCTCCTTTTCCCTTGATCCTCAGTCCTGCCAGGTATTTTCGCTGCTTGAGCGAGTCACAACGTTGACCAGCGTGAGTCAGTTAGCGCCCTCTCGAAGCATTGTAGCGGCTTCTCGATGCCCTTCCACCATCCTTCCCTCGCTTCCCCTGCGCCTTCGCCTGATGTGGTCGCTGTTCTGTGCTTGTAGCTCTCAGCCCCCCCTTAAAACAAAACACCGCCCACCCTCGCCCCCCTCCTTCCATCCTCTTTCCTCAGTGTCTACCATTAGAGAAGTGATTCTTTTGGAGAGGCACTCTTTGGAAGGAGCTTCATTGTGTTTAGCTGGCTGTTAGCGGTTAGCAGATTGACTCAAATATCAATGATGGCAATGCCAACGTTGGTATTGATATTGATTGATACAAGCGTCATGAGATGGATGATTAAGCCGCTGAGAATTAGAGTGGGATAGAATTTGTCTTGGTGGTGGAGGATGAAAAGAAACACACTGGAATGAGATTTAAAAAGAAGTTTGACGTAATGTCAAATATATCAAGATTTCATGAAAGATAATGGCTCCCCAGCCTAAGTACAGGACCTGTATTTTTGCAGGTGCCTGACGCCTGGTTTCATTGACATGGCCATCTTGGAAATGGGAGTAGGCCACGACTGAATGTCAGAATGGACTAGCAATGTAGTTTCAGTGAAGCCACCAGAGGCCATCTTACATTGCCACTCATATTTTGAATACATTGATTTCTCTCCGGCGCTTTCACATGATTTTCTATCACCGTGTAAGGCTTACGGTTGTACCTCTCCGGAAAGGTATATCCCTGTCTGTTACTCAAAGATTCGTTTGCATCCTGTTGTCAGAACCATCACTAATGAAATGAAAGCCGAAAGCCCATCAGGACAAAAGTTGCTACGAAATGTAAATCTGTCAGTCACCGTTCAAGTTACTGAGATAATATACTCTGAATGGTCGATGCAAACAGCAAGCTTCTTTCTTTGAGATGCTCACGTGCCCCTCCCAGCATAAAACATGCACAGTTGGCAGTGGCAACGTAAGATGGCTGCCTTCTGGCTTCAGTCAGATGAGCTTATTACATTCGTGGAGTGTTATCCTGAGGAATCAGGAAATGAGCCAAGTGCAGGCAATACTGCCTTCTATATGTCAAAATTGGAACTAAATCCTGGTTTCCACCAGCCTCAAAATTAGGTCTTTTCGCAATTCATTTCTGCATTTAACTTGGGGAGAAAAAAAACATACAAAGAAACTGAGTGAGCCCACTCGATTTCTCAGTGACTCGATTGATGTTTAGTGAGTTGAACGTATTTTAGTAATTGTATCTTTTTTTTTTTTTTTTTTTTTTCCAAAGCCAGCAAATGAAAAAGTTCTTGGAGGGGAGACATTTTGTATATTTTCATGTTTCCTGAACACACATTCTAGTTTTAAATATTGTAGACCATGATTTTGTAAGAAAACGTGAAAACAAGTGAGAATAGTTTTTTTTTTTTAACCTTTGAAAATTTAACATTAATTCTGATTGCTCACACTCACAGTAGTTTTCTCATACGATGTGAGTCCCTCCTCAAATACATCACTTCTCTAAATGGAAACTGCTACTTGGGTTTAAAAAAAGAAAAGAAATGAAAGCCATGAAGCCATCACCTGGTGCTTGCATCCATCTTGACAAACACTCCGAGTTGACCTTTGTCGCCCGACTTGACAGGCGGGGCAGGCTGGCTTCATCCGTCTGCATCGCGCCCCAGGCCGAGGCTTCCATGGCCGTGCCGCTGTTGCCGTTGTCAGCCCGCGTCGCTCGCTGCTTCCGTCTTGGTGGGGGGCGGGGGGGCTTCTGTCGCGCCAGCCTGACACTTATTCCCACTCTTGGGCTCCGCAGGTGCCGGAATGGACCAAGTGCAGCAGCCGAGAGAAGAGGAAGGAGAAAAAAGTCGAAAAGCCCTTCTACTCTGATTCTGAGGGCGAGTCTGGGCCAACCGAGTCCGCTGACAGCGGTAAGTTCAGGCGGACTCCAACACGATCGCCTCAAATCGATGTCGCCTGTACATTCTCAATCGGCAGATCCGTTCGTTTGTCTGTCGTATCCGTGAGGTGATGCACTGGACTGACTTTGACTGCCTCCCCCATAGAGTCCTACTCCTCCAGCGGCTCCGACAGCGCGAGTGCGAGCGCCGAAAGCGGCTCCGGATCCCAGAGCGAAGAAAGCGAAGACGCTTCCGACTCGGAGGAGGAGGAGGAGGAGGAGGACAAAAAGAAGGTGTGGAAGAAAGAATTCAAGAAGCTGGCGCAAGGAAGCGAAAGGTGAGATTGCACTTTTGCTTTTGTGTCTTGATACCCGAAATCCGATGTTATGCCTTGAATATTTGTCCCAGTGAGCAGAGCAGCGAAAGCGATGAGAGGAAGCGTGCAAGGAAGAGCAAACAACAGAAGAGCGAATCGGAGTCGGAGACGGACGGAGACGAGGAAAGCGATTCCGAAAGCAGCCAATCTGAATCTGACGACTCCGAGTCGGAGGTGGATGTCAAAAACAAGAAGGTAACCGACACATGTTGGATCGTTGGGATCATCAAAGGAAATATTCCAATCTGCATCGGTTCGTCAAATTTGAATACAAATTGCTTTATTTGTGCTTCTTATTAGTGACCTAGCATGCCTCCCGATGGCTCTCTTAAAATTCCTTGACTCTACGCGCCTCCACGAGTCGTAACACGGCATTCTGATTCATTGTGTGTTTGTGGAATAGGAGTTAAGCAGCAAAGCTCACCCGATTTTAGCCATATCAGGGGGCGGCCATTTTTTGACAGCAAGTGGCAAAATGGTACAACTTTGGTCTCGTAACCTAAAAATCTTTGCTTTCTTGCAGGCAGTGCAATCAAAAGCCCCCTCCAAGCCCGTCATAAAAGAGACCAAGAAAGAAAAGAAAGAAATGTCGTTGCTGGACCTTGACGACTGTGAGTTTTTTGTTTGTTTTTTTTTGTCTTTCAGTCACAGGTACATATAACGGGGTTCCCCAGCTACGTGCGAGTAACCGCATGTGACTTTTACAGACATTTCTTTGTTTCTCACTCCTCAGTCGAACCCGCCCCTTCGCCTCAAGTCACGCCCGTCAACTCCTTCCTGTCCAGCAGTCTCGTGACCGACCTGGAGGGCTTGTCATTGTCCGACTCGGTTCTCTCACCCGCGGTAAGGGCGCACTTTCATCCTGGCTAGTATGCCATCTGTTCTCAAGGAAAGTGTCGTAGAGATAAAATCATTATTAAAGCCGAACCAGTGGTTGGGAATCACTGGTTTGGGATAAATAGTTCTGATGAGGGCTCATTTGGCCAAATTCACCAGTAGCTGTCCATCAAAATCATGGAAAGTCATCCAAAATTTAAACTAAAATGGCCAACTTCCGGACGAGTGGTTAGCGCGTCGACCTCATAGTGCTGAGATACCGGGTTCAATTCCAGCTCTGGCCTCCCTGTGTGGAGTTTGCATGTTCTCCCCGGGCCTGCGTGGGTTTTCTCCGGGTACTCCTCCCACATTCCAAAAACACGCATGACAGGCTGATTGAATACTCAAAATTGTCCCGAGGTGTGAGTGTGAGCGCGGACGGTTGTTTGTCTGTGTGCGCCCTGCGATTGGCTGGCAACCAGTTAGGGTGTCCCCCGCCTACTGCCCGAAGACGGCCGGGATAGGCTCCAGCGCCCCGTGCAACCCTTGTGAGGATAAAGCGGATCAGAAGATGGATGGATGGATGGATGGCCAACTTCCTGTTTAATTTCGAGTATTGGTCCCTGAGACAGTCCGCCGTCAACTACAGAAGATTTTTTTTTTTTTTTTTGGTACCAAGTCCTACAACGTTCCAGTGGCTCATGTCTGTTCATTCTTTTGCCGACAGGCCATCTCGCCGTCGGGCACGCAGAAGTGCTACGAGCTGCTGCACCGCATCTCTGGCGAGGGCCTGTCGGTGGAGTACTGCTTCAGCCGCCAGCCCTTCGGCCCCGACGCCAACATGGTGGCGGTGCAGATGCATTTTGCCAACAGCGCCGCCACGGACGCCAAGAACCTGCACATGGAGGACGTCAAGCTGCAGTCTGGCATGAGGGTCACGGACTTCCCGGAAATCGGTGCGTGAAGACACAAAATTTGAGCGAGGTGGGGGGAAGATGAGACAAAAAAAAATGTACTTGAGTAAGGGCACTATTCCTTTAGAAAAACACGACTCGAGTAAAAGTTCAAAGTCGACCTCCAAATAATGACTTGAGTAAGTATTCAGAGATAAAAAGGACTCAAATACAGTAGGTGGTAACTGGTGAGTAATTTCTGATGTTGTTTTTTGAGCATAAACGTCAAAGAGACAAAAATATCAAATAGTTCAAATGAAATAGAAGTATAAAATAGTCATTCACTTCCCAACGCTGCGATTGGGTGGCAACCCGTTCAGGGTGTCCCCCGCCTACTGCCCGAAGACAGCTGGGATAGGCTCCAACGTGACCCTCGTGAGGAGAAGCCGATTAGAAAACCAATGGATGGATGGATACTTCCCAACGCTGCTGTCTACTGACTCGTTTTCCCACTTCCTGGCCGCAGAGCTGCTGCCTGCGGGTGAGACGACCACCGCTGTGATGGGCATCGACTTCTGCGACTCCACACAAGCGGCAAATTTCCAGCTGTGGTAAGACGAATTGGGCCTGATTTACTTTCAAGGAGTGCACATACAAAACAATGCGCAGGTCATTCTGGGGGGAGTAGATGGTAAAAAAACGGTGAAGAATAATAATATAACTTTAGCCTCACATTCACCGAATAGCGTCATTGTATAAAGTACCATTCTGTACAGTGCTATTCTTCCTTTAAAAAAAAAGAAAAAAGAAAAAAATGTTGGTGTTTCACTGGTACTGAAACATATTAATAGCATTTCCATTCATTCCAATGGGCAAAGTTGATTTGCGATTAGAATGATCTGAGTTACAAGCATGGTGTCTGTTGTTGTTGTTTTTTTTTTTTTTTCCAGTACTCACAGCAGGAAGTTTTTCGTGTCCATCCAGCCGCCGGTCGGAGAGCTGATGAAACCGGTTTTCATGACCGAGAACGAGTTTAAAAAGGAACAAGGTGAATAATGACATGATGACTGCTGGCATTAAATGAACCAGAAAAGGTCTGCCGTCCAACCTCCAAAGTCGAAACGTCCCTTCAGTGACACACTTTGGCCAACAACCAATCCGGCTAGACATGAACAAAGGTTGGAGGCATTTAAGTTTGAAAAAAGATTTTGAGCCCGCAGCGAATTAATTTACTTGGCAATCGATAGAAAATAACACTCGTAAACAGCAAATTGTAATCAGAAATGGCTTCATGTGGCCCGAAATATATTCTTGATGCTGTTTTAAAAATGTCTTTAATTTCTTTTGTAGCGCATCAAATTTTTTGAGATATTTTCATATTTTTTTTTTGTTTTCTATAAAAACTTGCACAATAGGGATTTGGCGCTGCATTGTAATTGATCTTGTCACTCTCTCATGTCCTGAGTGTGTCTTAGCGGCGCTGCGTTCTAATTGATAACTATCTTGTCACTCTCTCATGTCCTGAGTGTGTCTTAGTGGGTCGTACTTGCAAGAAGTAATCTCGTAGGTGAAATGTGATGAGCACCTTTGTAGTTGTCGTGGCAGAAGGTCCTTTAGATGCACTAACGTGTCGCTCAACATGCTCCTCGATTCCGTGTGCCGTTCCCAAAAGAGGCGCTCTCGCAGCGTCTAGGTGAGTTGCCTTCCACGTCCCGCCCTTGCTGCACCCCCCCCCACCCAAAGCCCCTGAAAATTCCCCCACCCAAGACCACTCACGCCCTTCACCGTTTCTACTGCGTGTATCTTCCGCCCCTCATCAGCAGCAAGTTGCGGCGGCTTGTCATCAGAGTGGACCCAGACTTTTTTTTTTTTTTTTTTTTTTTGCGCTTAACATCATTAGTTACTCACATAAAGTTAATCACATAAGATTCCTTTAGTGGTGTCTGATTTGGCTATTGATAGGTTGGTTAGTGAGGATTTTAGTAACAATTTGGGTGAGTTCGTCAATTTCATGTTCATGCCAAATAGTGAGCATCATATGTCATGAGTGAAAACGGACCACTTTGGTCACGACGATTTTGTCTTTACAAATCTACTTCTGTCATTAAATTCTGACAGAAGTTTATTTTTTCTCTTCATTAAAAAAAATACATAAATGTGAACAGTTCCGTATGAAATGATGCTAAATGAGTAAACATTTCAGACTTTTGGGGGAGGGGGGGCTTCTCTTGGGTTTAAGAATCAACTTCAATTACTGCTCGTTTCGTTTGAAATGAATGATGAACTGATGCGGGATTTAAGTGAAGACAGAAAAATTGGACAAATGACATTGCGCGTCAGTTCCAGCAGATGTTGACCAACCTTTGTCCGCTCATGAGATTGGAAAGACCCTTTTGGCAATGTTTGCAAACCGTAAGTGCCAGAGGCTACTTCCGGGGGCAGAGCACCAATCCTCGACCATTGACTTGAAATGAAAACACGAACAAAAACTGGCTGTACCGCCGGAAGTACCCCAAAAGATCGTTAACTCGCACCGCGTGGACGTCTGGTGTTCGACGTATAAACCCGACACGGCGCTCCTGTGCCGAAACAGGTCAGCTCATGGGCATGAATGAGATCACAGAGAAGCTGACGCTGGACGTGAAGTGCCGGAACGAGCACGCCATCGTCCAGAGGGTGTCGGCCGCCGCCAACCTCAGCAGAGTGCCCTGCGGCTCCGACAAGGAGTGCAGGTAAGGGAGAGCAAGAAGAAGACAATACAGTGGTACCTCTACTTACGAAATTAATTGTTTCTGGAAGAAATTTCTTAACTAGAAAATTTTGTCAGTCGAGACGCGTTTTCCATGTTAATGCCCTAATCCGTTCCAAGCCCCCCAAAATTCAGACGTGAATGTTTCCTAAAGCATAAAAATGCATCAAAATATCTTAACAAATACATGTTACAATTAGATTATTGCACAATAAATGAGAAAGTGATGGTCGTTTAACTTTTGCGTCCTCATCGTTTTTTGCCCTCTTAAGTTCATCTTCTCCCTCACAAGTGGCTTTTGATTGGCGTTTTGTAAAGAACTGAGCAAAGGACGTCTGCTTTTGTCGGCTTTTAAAATGTCCAAGGCAAACAACAACATCAGCAGAGTGAGCGACTGGTGAACACTTTTTCTGGGAATTCACATTTACGTAAAATTATCGGAATACCTCATGGGCCGAGATGCGAATAGCGAGGACGCTGCATAAACACACTTCTATCTTTCGCCACACAGACATGTATGGTAGAGGTCCGTCCCTCTGAGCCAATGGGTGCCAGGATGATGCTCGGGAATAGCCAATGGCAGCGTAGCTATAAGTACTGGATGTTGCGTTCAGGAAATTCGGAGCTGCGACTAGCAACCCATTCTGTATTTTTACCTTTCGTACTAAAGGCAATATTTTCCTGTTGAGGCGTTTCGTAACTTGAAAATTTCGTATGAAAAGACGTTCGTAAGTAGAGGTGCCACTGTACAGCGGAATCGCTATACACTGTAGATATCGGTTATCGCCCTCCTTGAAGACCAATATGTCGAACTTAGTTTCAGACTAGCCCTTGTACAAAGAACCACCGTTATAACGTACAGATTCGTTATGGCCCGCGAGGGACATTGGAACGCGGTTCGACTGTCATTGCTATTTCTCTTTTCATTTTATGTTGTCCTTATTTAGTTCACTCTTGAAGTGAACTGTCTTTTTTTTTTGTGTGTGTGAGCCCTCAATAAATATCGCCGCTCAATTCCTTGACTCTGCTGCCTTTGACGCTTTTGACTTGTGCGACGCTTTGACTTGAGTCCTCCGCCGGGTCTTCGCACTCTCACGCTTCCCGCTCGCAGGTTTGCCGGCCGGACGGTGAGCGGGGGCAGCCTGGTGCTCGTCACCGTGGCCACCGAGGAGGACGGCAGTGCCCGGCTGACTCTCAACTGCGAGAAGATGGTGATCGGCACCATGCTGGTCAAGGACGTGCTGCTGGCTCTCACGCAGTGAATCTTTGTGGGATTTCCTTTTTTTTTTTTTTCTTTGTGACAATCGCATCTGCTCACGAGAACGACATGATGACAGCAACTCGCGGCTACGTTATTTTGCACCTCTCCCTCGAAATTTCCGCTTGTCCTGCACATTTATTTGGCGTATTATTCTTTTTCAAACTATTTCGACCAAATTTCATGTTGAGGGAATTTTTTTTTTACTAATGTTCACATTTTCTACCAAATTCCAAATTCAATAGCATTGGATATTTTTTTTATTGTAACATCAACAAAATTTGGTTGTCAGATGTTGTTTGTCAATGTTTGGCGGGGGGTTTTTTTTCATTTGGAATTTAAAATGATTTCTCCCAAATGAAATAATATTTCAGGTTTTTTTTTTTGTTAATGTTGTTAATGCAGTTTGAGTGGATTTATTTATTTTGTATTTATTTATTTATACCAAATTCCATTAGCACTCGCCTCATCAACAAAATGAGGGGAAAACCATGCCAGTTTCTTAAAATGGTACTTTTATTTTTTAACACCAATGTTATTTATTATGAAATCGTAGATGATGAAATAAGATCTAGAAGGTGTTTTTGTTTCAATGTGGCATAACCGTTTCAATCCTTGTCTTGCAGTCGAAAGCAGAACATATCCCAGAACATAAACGTTTGAAAGCTTGCCGTGCATGCGGCACCGCTACGGCATGTACAGGATGTGTGTGTTAAACATACAGTATGCAGTACGCAGGAAACAAAAAGCTCATCTTGTCATTTTTACTTTTCTTTTTTTTATTTATTACTGTCGTTCCATGATCATTTGATTGTATCTTTGTTGTTCTCCCTTTGGGCCTCAAAGTGTAGTTAGACTGGTGAACATGTCACTCCCCCCCCCGACAATTTTGGCTTGAAATTATTTATTGAGTAGTTCTGATATGCGTGAAAGTGAAACTAAGTAAATTAGTTTTTTTAAAAACATCGAAATAATCGACTTGCGATCGTATGCTGTAATGAGTAGAAATAAATGCCATACTTTCTGACAATTTTGACTAAAAAGGCTCAAGTTCAATTCATGTTCGTTTATATTGATGTACTTAAGAGTATGTACTAAAAATGAACATTTTTCTACGACTCAGAGTGGACCTCCGCTCTTTGCGGGGTCATCGGGACCATGCCTGACCATGAATCGTGAAAATTACAAATAACACTAACTATAATTGCCATGTAAAAAAAAAAAAAAAAAATATATATATATATATATATATAATAATAATCCTCCTGTCCCTAAAACAAAACTAAACACAAATGCATGCATGGTTGGGTGACAAAAATGTGAATAAGTGGAGAAGCTGAATGTTTACGTCCAATTGTTACTTTCCTGCCTTGGATCATATTTCAACACTTGTCTTCTATGTTCCTGATTTTCTTGACTGCTGGTGAATGTGAAAGATATTTGACCAAAGTAGATCGAAATTCTGCTGAATCATTTCCCAAGCAATGTTTGTTTTCAAATGAAATGACGTGTGCAAGTGTTATTACTTTTCATCACAACCTCTGTGTGTGCTGCTTGGCTATTGGAAGTTTATTTATGAATAAATAAATGAAGAAGAAAAAACTATGCAGGTAAAAAGTTTTACTTTCCAACGTGCATTGAAAAATATACACAAATACAATAAAAATGGGAATAAGAATTAAAAACTAGGAATGAAAAAGTGCTTTGACTGTACTGACATAATTGAGCAATCTAAAAACATGCAGAGTATCTCACAGGGTGCTTGCTGCACAACCCTTCACATTTTTGTAAATATTTGATTATATTTTTCACTGGGACAACATTGAAGAAGTGCCACTTTGCTACAATGTACAGTAGTCAGTGTACATTTCCCGTTATTTTTGGACATTCATGAATGGAAATGTTCACTTCAGGGTCTACACAATTTTGTGGCGAGCTGTTCTGACGATAATGGCTGTGTCTTGAGCTATTTTGGAGGGGAGAGTTAAAATATAATATTTCTAATCTTACAAAGTGGTGGAATATTTCTGATAAATTAGTACCGGTTTTATAACACACACACACACACACACACACACACACACACACACACACACACACACACACACACAAAGGCAAAGGTTAGGCAAGTTCCATCTGTTTGGTGTGCGGAAGGAAGAGCGCCGACACACCACCGGACATCAGCATGACCGACACAAGCAGGATGGGGACGGCGCAGTCCGAGTCCAGCATGTTGCCGAAGACCACGTTCCCCATGATGGCCCCCACTCGGCCCGCACCCGTGAAGAAGCCCAGCGCCGACGAACTGCACCCAAAAGAACGACCATCCACATGACAAAAACAAAAAACATCTTCAAGGAAACGCTGCGACCCAATTAGTAATTACCCACATGGGTCATTTGAGAAAATTGAAAGCCTCCCTCAAATGGATGCTACATCTTGATTGGTTGATACACACACACACACACACACACACACACACAAAGGCAAAGGTTAGGCAAGTTCCATCTGTTTGGTGTGCGGAAGGAAGAGCGCCGACACACCACCGGACATCAGCATGACCGACACAAGCAGGATGGGGACGGCGCAGTCCGAGTCCAGCATGTTGCCGAAGACCACGTTCCCCATGATGGCCCCCACTCGGCCCGCACCCGTGAAGAAGCCCAGCGCCGACGAACTGCACCCAAAAGAACGACCATCCACATGACAAAAACAAAAAACATCTTCAAGGAAACGCTGCGACCCAATTAGTAATTACCCACATGGGTCATTTGAGAAAATTGAAAGCCTCCCTCAAATGGATGCTACATCTTGATTGGTTGATGGGTGCGACAACTAAACGACTCCCTCAAACAAAGGCCTCATCCCAGTTTGTCACCAGATGTATCTTCCACTTAAGAGAAATAAACATCCTGCAGTAACAGATACCAGACCCCAATTCGCCTTCGGGTGCATCCTCCGCTGAAGACAACCGAACACCTCCCTCAAATAGGCGCTCGGTCCCGATTAGCCATCCGGTGCGTCGTCTACTTGAGACAACCAAACGCCTTCCTCAAACAGACGTGGCGCGCCTCATTTCGTCACGGATCGAGACGTCCGCTCAAGTGAAAACGGCGCCTCCCTCAAAGTACCGTAGCTGCGTGGGGTAGAGCTCCGTGCCCACCACATCCAGAGCGTTCCAGGCGATGACGGACACGCCGCTGAACAAGCAGGACAGCAGCAGACTTTGGCTTTTGCTCTGCACCACATAGATGAGGAACACGCTCAGGCTGGACACCAGCAGGCTGACCGCTGCAAACACACACACACGATGAATGTCAAATCAGGACATATGAGGACCCGCTGTGGCGCGTGGCCTTCCTCACAGAGCAGCGGCTTCGCTCCAATGTTGTCCACCACCAGGATGGTGAAGATGTTGCCGGGAAGGTTGGCCGCGGCGATCAAGAAGCTCTCCTCGTAGACTGAGGATGAAAACACGTGCCGGATTGAATATTTCTCAATTTTGAAAAATTAAACATTTATTTTTGGACCATCTTTTTTTTTTTTTTAATTCACTTAATTTTAGTTGGATTTTACAGCTGATTTGTTATGTTTGCTTTTAGTTCAATTTTTATTTGTCTTACATTTCTTGTATTTGGCATATATAAATAAATACATTTAAAATGAGCCCTGAAAGCGCAGGTATGAAATCTGTGTCAATTACGCACCCACAGTCTTGACGGGGGAGCAGCTGTTGGTGTGCTGTTGGGACGGGGCGGACATGTTGGCACACGGGGAGCTGCCGGCCTCCGCTCGGGAAAAAAGCTCGGGGAACCACATCCACAGCCCGTAGTAGCTGTGCACAGCGATCAAGTCACGTCATCGCCTTCGAGGCACTTTATACATTGAGCACGTCATAAACCGCGCTCCTCGTCGACTCAAGAAAACCGGCACAACTTTACAACTTACAGCGGGCACATTTTCAATCAATATTGCGGCGCTCGAGAAATGATCAGCTAATAGACACCCCAAAAAACGTTTTTGAAGTCTACCTGGAAGCCAACTTTCTACCCCAATTTCAGGAGTCTTTTTAAAATATACTTGGGATTTATTAGCCGAGAGAATTTGCTCCACTGGAGTCGGTCGGGGCCTTTTTAGGATGACCCCTGACCCAGCGTTTAGGCTCCACAGCTAAAACATTTCTGAACCAGAGTTTTCAGAAGCACTGGTTCAGAAACAGTTTAACGGCAATGCCGACCAACCACCCGGACGTCTTACCCAAAGGAAATGCAGTAGAAAATGATGAGCAGCACGACGCTTCTGGATTTCAGGTTCCCGTCAAACATCTGCCGGAGCGGCATCAGAGCCTATTTGGGCGGTGATGACAGCAAAACGCCGATTATACACCCTAACACATGTCAACAATATTTGAGTGGTTTCATTTGATTGACTTTGAGTCGAGTCTTGTTTCTCGGTCACCTTTTTCAGAATAGCAGCGAGTTGTCCACACGACTGTCGAGTCTCGGTCTCGTGCGCTCTTTGTTTGATGTTCACGTGCAAGGAAAACTCCTTCAAAAGCAAACGTAGCAAAAACAGGATTCTGACTGTTGCAAATTTATTATACTTAATGAATTGTAGTTTCATTTATAATACAATATTTATTGACATGATTTCTTTTTGTCTCGCAATTGACAGTCTACATATTAAAAAAACTAAAACTAATACTAAAACTAATAAAACAACTAAATGAAACAAACAAAAAAAAACTAAAAACAAAAATTCAAATTTGCTAGAAAAAGTAATTAAAACTAACTCAATTTTTAAAAAAACAAAGTCAAAACAAAATTAATTCGACCGAAAAATTCTAAGTGCAGCCGCTTTTGCCTTTTTTGCACAGCGCCGTCGACTTACAGGGAGAGATTCTCCTTTCCCAAGCATGTTCAGTCGGAACATCTGGCGGAAGACGTGGACGGCCTCTCGCTCTCGGCCGGCCTGCAAAAACACAAAACGACAGATTTTTTTTGGCCGCAAGTCCTTGTGCAAGATTGGCGAATCGGTTCACTTCATTTTTAGGATCGATGTACTGAAGTGATATTTCATTTATTTATTCTTTTTTTTTGGGGGGGCGGGGGGGGTTATTAACTTTTTAACCTCCATGAGGAACTTGGGGCTCTCGGGCATGAGGAGCCTGAAGATGACCGCTGACGTGACGCTCGGGACGGAGCAGAGCACGACGAACAATCGCCAGCTCTGGAAGTTCAGTCGGCCCACGGACAAATGCATCCAGGTTCTGGGGATCACCAACCAGGCCAGGCCTTTGCGCACGCACGCACGCAAGCGTCAACATCACATGATGGTCGAAAAAAAAAATGTCGGTGGTCGTTGTGCGGTGTCTTGGCACCTGCAGCCAGAATGTTGCCCGCCATCCAGAAGGTGGCCAGAGCGCTGATCATCGTGCCTCGCCTCAGTCGCGGCATAAATTCGGAGAAGTAGGAGAAGATGACGGGAATGGAGCCGCCAACCCTGGAGAGAAAGGGTTCGATTGCATCTAAAACCCGCGTCCATTTGAAAGACTTAAAATTTGACATAAAAGAATGAAGCTACGAATGAAAAACATCTTGCGTGTTTTGAAAAAACAATAACGTGGTCGTGGCTCCAACGTCCTCACCCGACGCCGCTGATGAACCTGAGCAGCAGGAAGAGCCAGAACCACGGCGCCGCGCTGGCCAGACCCCCGAAGAGGCCGTTGACCGACAGGGAGACCACCAAGACGTTGCGGCGCCCCCTCCGGTCGGCCAAATATCCCCACACGTAGCCGCCCACCATCATGCCTGGCGGGGACGACGCAGGCGTGTGACTCATGGCCTCGCGTCATCGAATTCCAAAACCGAGACATTTGACAAAAGAACGTCCGACCGAGGGCGCGTGACCGACCGAGGAAAATGGAGGCGGTGAGCAGGCCCATGTCGGAGGAGCTGAGCAGGAGGTCGCAGCGGGCCGAGGGCAGCAGGAAGGACACGCAGACGATCTCCACGGCGTCGCTGGCGTTGGCCCAGCCGCAAACGAGCAGCAGCAGCCAGTGGAAACAGCCGAAGCCTGGCAACAGGAAGCGCAACACACACACACAAAAAAGCTTCAGCCGCCATTTTGACGTGGCGGTGAAAATGTGGTGAAGACGGTGCCTGGACAAAATGGCTGCCACTTCTCGAGACGCATTACGCAACTTTTTAAATGAAACAACGTGACAAAAGGCACAGAGATTTGTTTGCGTTATTGTTGTCATCTGATTTATGTTCACGGCAGACTAATTTGGCGGAATTTTGTGGCGTTGTCGTCATGAACGCTTAAAGGATTTCAAGTGTTTTTTTTTTTTAGTACCGGTACATTAATAACGCTAAGATGAAGAAATATACTGTCTTTCATTCATTCCCCATTTATTTTCGTGCACGCCAAGCCTGTGAGACCAAAACATTTATGAATAACAAATCTGATATGGGAATACAGCTGAATTTATTGCTTGCTTTGGTGAAAAAAAAACAAAAAAAACATGGCAAAAATGGAAAAAAATGTTTGCATATTAAATCGGCATCGGAATACTGAGGAGATAAAGCAAAAAAAAAAAATTGCCATTTGATTATTTTTCAGAATTGTTCTGCCCAAGTGGATTAGCGGAGGTTCGGGGTTTTGGAACCGAGGCGCTATCATAACGAAACATGTGCGACGCCCCCCCGCTATCACGTCCAAGTCAGCGCACAGCTTTGGCCCACTTGATAACTGGCCCACGCTTGACAGTTTGGTGAAAGCTGCCGACACGGCGGCCAGACATATTTGTGTCCTTGCGGGGCGCATGACGGCAGTGAAGTCGAATGAAGTTCTGTCGTCTTGAGTGAAAATGCTTTGATAGTTTGCAGTTGAAGCCGCCTACTTCAACTGGTTGAAATGCGAAAGACAAAGCTTTTTTGGTGACCGTTTTCACAGCCATTCACGTCAACAAAATAAGTTAAGCCGCATATATGAAAACAGCGATTGGCTTGGCGTGCTCCCCTTACACTGTGATGAAATAAGCCAGACGTGGGCGTGGCGGTCAAGAAAAGGGCGGCGACATTTGACTCGGACTTCCGCTGTGATGCGATCTTTCCAAGATGGCGTCCCATTTTTAATTACCTGCTGCCTCGACTGCTTCCTCGTATGACAACCTGGCGCGGGCGCCCTCGTCGGCATCGTGCGGGGCGATTAAAGTCCTCCTCTCAAATAAGGTTTCACCTGAAAGAGAGAAAGAAAGAATCGGAAGTCATCTAATTTTCCTCGCCTAACTTTTTTTTCTCCGGTGCATTGTATGACAAAAGTTGATGAGAGCATTGTTTTTTTTTTTTTTCCAAGATACTTCTTAGCAGCAGTCGCTGCCAACAATACAAAATATTTTTTTGATTGGAGTTCCATCTCCCGTCAATCATCTTGTGGGGCCGGTGCAAAAAGCCGACTGCAGTGAGTGAGATCAGTCCGGTAGGACCTCAAACAAACGCCAACTCCAAAAAGGTGTTGCGCGCAAGAGTTCCAATCGACCTGGCACGCCTCTGACACCGATCCATTATATCCCTTCTCAATTTACTCAGTTACGCGATGTCAAAAATGCTCGAAGGTGTACGACGTTGGATCGGTCTCTGTTAGCATTATCCACTACTGGTGAATTTATCAATAATTTTGTACTTTGCCCAACTTGTATGTGCAATGGTTGCCAAAACATCAAATGAAGCCGATATTATTGAGTTGTTGGGTGTTTTTTTTTTTTTTTTGGTCATTATTTTGACAAATGCCATGAACAGTCATGCGGTTCGATCAATCATCTTTTTCTTTTTAATTAAATACACAACATTAAGAGAATAAAGTTGTATTTTTTTCAAGATAGCAGTCGCAGTATCACGAGAACGACGTTTTTCAAGACAAAAAGTAGCATATTTTCCACATTTTTTCTCCACACAGGACAGAGATTACTGTCCTGTTACTACTTTTGTACGAGGGGAAGTGAAGGAAGGATATCGAAAGAACTGTTTGCCGCTTGCTTAAGGAAGAGCACTCTGGAGGATCTTGTCAAATTATACACAACTGGAAACAGTCAGAATAAGCGTCAGCGTTTGGGATTCTGACGGAGCGTTGAGGTCATAACCACAGTGGCTCATGTCGAAGGGTGTCCACAGTGACGCCCAAATCTCTGGAACACTGTAAATGTTTACGCACCCACTTTTAATTCCAAAATACCCAGTATGACATTTTATTCTCAGAATATCTTGACTATGACCTTTATCTAAAAAAACATGACTTTGTATCTCAAAAACAACTGTATTTTTTTGTAAAATGTCGACCTAAATCTTACAAAAACTACATTAATTTTAAAATTCAAACTACAATGGATTTTAAAATTGAAAATATCCAACTTTTTATCCCTAAAATATACTATATCACCCTTAATTATAACACAATTTATTGTATGTCTGTATTATGTACTCCCTTCGTAAATTAAGGGAGGGGGGCGATGAGATTCAATATAATGTGATTATTACTATTTTGCATTTGGAACTCTGAAGCATTTTAGACTGCATCATCAACACAATTCATGAACCAGTAGATGCAATTTTGCTTATACAAATATTTAAGAAGTGCAAATAAACATTTCACTTGCAAATGGTAAAAAAATGTTCTGAAGAATACTGGTTTAGGCGACTGTTTTAAGTCACGCACCACTGCAAAGTACTAAGCCAAAAATACAAATAATACTACATAAACAACTGAGCTTTGCCATTTTATGTAGAGAATAAAATACAATGCATCGGGTACCTTGCTGATCAAATCTGTTGCGTGTAAAATAAGAAACGAAAAGGACATTGAAATTACTTGCTTCAGCTTCAAAAAGTGGATAATTTTTAGTTTGGGAAAATAAGCATTTAAATGATACAAAATCAAAAAAAAGCTCTCCTGCTTCATAAAGGAGAGGCGCAACGTTTTTTAAATACCTTCATCGGAATCCGACTCGTCAATCAACCGACGTTTTGAAGTGAGAAGCGGCTCTTGATCAGCGTTGGAAGTGTTACCAGGCATCGCCGAACTCGGTAAACTTCCGCGGTCAGAAGTGCTGTTGCACGGCGTTTTCCTTGCCCCGAGTCATTTTTTTCCAGTCCGTTGACTGAGTGAGAAGCTGTATTAGCTTGCTGACGAGGCCAGCGGGCAGGTGATGAATCCCACTGCTGTTGTAGGCATGGCAAGCCTTGCTGCAATATCATTGGCGGTAGGACACGCACTGCTGCAATTTGATTGGCTGCTTTATCCGGTTAAGGCGGTCTTGTCGTTCATGTTCAGACATTAGCCAATCACTTTGTAGCAGGGCGTATCCTGCCCAGACGCGGAGGAATTTATCATAACGAGGAAGTGAGGTAGTTGTCGATGCGGGCGTGCTAGCTCCCTAGGCTAACCAGGAAGTGAAAAGTGACAGCGGCGGTTCATTGACGTCTCGCCCCCGTCTCCCCTCCTCCTCCGCCCTCACTCCACTACGGACTTCTCTGACACTTTGGAGCACTTCCACCGTCCCCCAGGCGTCACTTTCCACAGCCGTGTTGCGTGTGCTCGCATGGGCAGCGGAGGAGTAAAGCTTATCCGCCGAAAAGCACACACGGTCCCCGACGTCAGTCGTGTCTCGTCTCTCCGCTCGCGCGTGAAGTTTGTAAATTAGCGAATTGAAGATGGCGACCAGCTCGGAGCGCAGTCCTCCTCCGTTCCCCGACGCCGGAGACCCCGCGGGCCGAGGCAGCGATGAAGACGACGGAGACGACCTCTTCATGAGTGTGGTACGGTTCCAACTTTCCCCACGACCGCTTCTTCCGTCTCCATACTCTGCTAACTCTCACTGTCAATTAGCCATAGCAATGCGCTAGTGAAAAAAAAAATATATATTTATGTTAGTCGCCACTTTTTCGTTGTTGTTTTTGCAAAAGTTTTCACTCCCATCCACACGGTTGCCTAAAAGTGACAAATGCTGTTTAATGTTACTCGAGCTTTACTTTCACGCGAAGTGCAATGTGATTATTTCGTCACCAAAACTAACATAGGCATTTAATTGCCTGTGATCTTTGCGCCACTGCGAGCGGACTAACTACGAACACTTTGTGCGTTATGTTTGTTTTTTTTTTTTTTTGTGGGGGGTATGTGTGATATTTTCGACTGCATAAGTTATGTTCCGAATAAATGGCAGTGATTTTAAATTGAATGGAGATGAAAAAGTGGCCCGTGCACGGGGAGGGCAACCTCTTGTCATGTGAGCGGGTGGCGATCACGTGGTTAGAACCCGGATGTTTTCGCCTCTGTCAAAGTTCAAAAGGAAAAAAAGAGCAATTTGGGAAAAGGCCAACTCAGCAGCTTTACGCAGAACACACAGCAAATCTGCCAGCTTGCTTTTTTTTTTTTTTTTTCTTGGAGAGCCCTTGATATGTTCAGGCTATCACTTGGAAATCACATGACCAATCACTTAAAGTTTCATTTAAAGTTAAACTCCATAAAGAAGTGAAGCCATAATGAACGGATTCGAAGAAGCACCACTCAAGAAAGTAGAAGAAATGAAGCTTGGTGTTACGGAAATGATGATGATGGCGGTGAGGTGGTTGTCTTCGGTGACACCCTAAAATGAGGATCAACAAGAGCCAGATGGAAACGCGGTGTTCAGTCTCATTTGAAAGTGAAAGAAGCGGATAAATAGAACATCCTTAACAGGAACATTTGGAGAAGGCTCATACAAAACGGTGAGCCAAATAGAGGAAAGCTGTGACGTAAAATAGAAGGGCCCATAAAGGCCGAGGTTGGCGCTGTTGCGAGGAGCGCAGGTGGAGAGGGGTATTTCTCTAAATTGGGAATTTCTCCATTGTGAGACAAATAAAGGTTTTCTTTTCTTAGCTTCAGAAAGTACAGGCAGGAAGGGGCAAGTGGAGGAATGTCTCGGGAGTGATTTGTGGCATAGGAGCAGCATAGCAGCAAAGGAAAGGTTTATGGAACTGTAGTGAGGCCAATCCAATTTATTCATGAAGCACATTAAAAAAAAAACGGATTCAAGTTCTTTCCATCAATGACTCAATGGTAGCAATACGGCTTAAGTCACGCTAAGTATAAGTGGGACATAGAACACTGCTCAAAAGAAGGCAATAGAACCACAAAATCAAATCGCAAACTGCCATGCGGATTTAAACTCGAGCGCGGTTAGGGCTGCTCCGTTTTGGGGTGGCGGTGGGCTATGTTTTTGAGTGTTTTTGATCTTCAGGGAGCCTTCTGGAATCCGTGGGTGTCGAAGGTCAGAAAGGTAGTCTGGAGCCGGTCCATTTGAAGCGGTTTTGGCAAACAAAATATTTTCAAGTGCATACCAAAATCTATTGGGTGCCAAGTGAGGGGGGGGGGGGGGGAAACGTGATGCTTGCCGGCAAGTTTCAGTTTGAAGTGGAGCAGAGGCGTTCGAGATTTGAACAAAGAAGCCTCGTTCTGATGCGGAGATATCCAACATTTTTTTTTTTTTTCTCTTGATGCCATCATGACACAAAAACTGCATTTGTGCCACTCGAGAGGAACAAATCAGAATTGTGTCACTTGAACCATGAGGTGTTAACCAGGCCGCGCTATTTGCATCACACACCAAATTTTAGCGCAACAGTAAATTTGATCAATATGGAAATGTAGCCAGCCGCCTTCTGGAACGGTTTCCGTGTCATTGAAGACTGCAAATGTTTTCTTCTTTACTTGTGTGGCTGTTAGAACCCCCTTTTATTTAGCATCGCTGCCACCTACAGGGCAGTAGCGGTACAATACATCATTGATTGCATCTTAAGCTCGCCACCGGCGAAGGCTTTAAAAAAAAAAAAAGCTCCATTTCGCTTGGTTTGTAGGCTTTCTTTTGAGAAATGCATATGCGTTTTATGTATTTAGTTATTGTCTAGATAAGTTATGTGCTTCAGAAGTGCAATTCACGTGTTTCCATACTATTTTTTTTTTTCATGAAACTTGAAAAGTTGAAGCGATGAAGCCCCGGATTTGTTTGCATTCTCGTTGGAATGTGACTGACTGACTTGAGTTTACGGCACACACCGTTTTCTTCTTTGCTTCCAGAGCAACTCCTCCCTGAGTGAGACGGCGACGGTCAGTGACGATTTGGTGACTCCGCCCAGTGACGCCACGGCAGACCTAACGAGTGAGCCCATCAGCAGCGGCTTGGGATCCAAAACGCCCAGCGACAATTTGATGTCGCCTCCCAGCGACGCCATGAGCGACCCCATCAGCAGCGGGTCCGAGTCCAAAACGCCCAGCGAGCCCTCCGACGACTTTGACGATCTGGCGGGCAACTGGATGACTCCTACCGCCTCCGTCGAGTCCGGAGGTGGAAAGGCAGCAAGTGAAAACCAGCAGCTCAACGACGAGTTTGTTGACATACTGGGAAACGAAACTGAAGCGCAGACCCAGGACGTGGCGGTTGAGAGCGCGGGAGAAAGTGGGCTCGATGAGGTCGGTGACGCAAAAGAGGAAGTAAAAGAAACCGCTCTGCTTTTAGATATCAGTTCGTCAGCAGATCTCGCACCACGCCCGCCGAGCAAAATAGTTGACCCACTGGCGGACCTCTTTGACGATCCTCCGCCAGCTGCGGCCCAGAAGCAAAGCGCCGCCGCGGACCTGTTTGAAGACGAAGGTGGCGACTTGTTCGCCGACCCGCGACTGATCAAAACCGCCAAGCCGCCTCAGAAGAGCCTCTTCGGCGAGCCCGACGAGGATCTGTTCGGCGAGCCGCTGGGCGCCAAGAAGAAGCCCGCTGGGGGCGAGATACAGGACGAGACCCTGGCAGACAAATCGGCGAGCCGTCACGGCGGCAAAGTGGGCGAAGCGCCCCCGCCGCAGCCGAACCGCGCCGAAGAAGCCCTCGCCCCCGGCCACTCTGCTCAAAGGACAAACGGAGTCCACGGAGAAGTCGGCACTGATATCTTTGCAGGTGAGTCCTCGAGTTTTCCTTTGCGACAAAACTCAAAAGCGAATCCGATGCAATAGTCAAAAGAAACTTTCCGAAACGATGCTGCCTGGAAAAGTCTGCATGGGTCCGGGCAACTGTGGCAAGACAATCACCGGCAGAAAAAAGTGACTTTGAGTATTTGCATCGCCTGTTCCCACAGAAGCCACAGTGGAGCTCTCCCTAGACAGTCCGCAAAGCGAAAGGAAGAAGGAGGCGGCCGCTCCCGCCACCGGCGCCGCAGCTGGCGGCAAACCTTCCACGTCGGCTCCGGCCGCGTCGAGCACTGCCAAGCAACCGACGGCTGCGCTGGAGGAAGTGAGTGACTGCCGGTTCTAAAGTGGTTTGGTGCTTGGTTCCTGGTTGAGCTTCAATGGCTTTGAGTCAGTCGAACGCATAGAGCCGTACCTTGACTTACGAGGTGAATTTGTCCTTGACCAACATTGTAAATTCATTTCACTGTATAGTGGCAGCTCGACTTACGAACATCTCTTCGTATGAAATTTTCCAAGTTGCGAAACGCCTCAACAGGAAAATATTTCCTCTTGTTACGAAAGAAATTTCAAGATACTAAAGGTAAAAATCCAGGCTGATGTTTGCCTTGGACATTTTCGAAGGATTGTTAAAAGCCCACAAAAGCGAACGTCCTTGGATCGGTTCTTTACAAAAGGCGAAAACCGCTTCTCAGAGAGGACAAAACGATGAGGACGCAGTTAGTTCAATAATCATCGTTTTAATTCCTTATTTTTTTACATTCTGCACAACTCTCATTTCTTGTGCAATAATCTTAACTGTAACATGTATTTGTTACATATTTTGATGCATTTTTATGCTTTGGAAAACATTTATGTCTGAATTTTGGGGGTGGCTTGGAACGGATTAGGGCATTTACATGGAAAATGCGTCTCTACTTACAAAATTTTCGAATTAAGAAATTTCTTCCAGAACCAATTAATTTCGTAAGTAGAGGCACCACTGTACTTCAAATACATTTTTACCATTGAAAGGATGTGACCCAAGGCCCCCCCCCTCCCCTTGGGGGGGTGATGTATCCAAAGCTTGCTCTACCTCAAATTAGGCTTGCGACAAAAAAACAAAAAAAAAAAAGCAGCAGCTGGGGCCTACTTGTATGTTGGGGGCGCTTGTAAGTCAAGGTATCGCAGGACCAGTAAAAAAAAAAAAAAAAAAATCATCAGTGCCAATTTGCCTTGTCCTCCTCATTCATCGGAGCTGGAAGAAGAGGACGAGTCCGAGGTGGAAGACAAATTTGACATCACCGTCTCCATTACCGACCCAGAAAAAATAGGTGAGATTTCTGTCCGAAGCCAGCATTCTCCCCGAAATCCACTTCTCGCGTATGATGAATTTTGCTCCTTGATTTGGTGTGCAGGGGACGGCATGACCGCCTACATGGCCTACAAAGTGTCCACTCAGGTAAAGCGACGTTTATGAAACAATACAATAAACCCAATACAAGGGTTTTAATTATGTTTAAAAAAACAAAAAAAAAATGGTTTCAGACCACACTCGGCATGTTCCGCAACAAGACGTTCACGGTGCGCCGACGCTTCAGCGACTTCCTGGGCCTGTACGAGAAGCTCTCGGAGAAGCACGGCCCCAACGGCTTCATCGTGCCCCCACCGCCGGAGAAGAGCATCCTCGGTAGGCGCCGGCCTCCCGCCAACCTCGGCGGCCGCCGGCGGGCGCTCATCTCCCGCGCTGTGCTCGTCGTCTCGCAGGTATGACCAAGGTGAAGGTGGGGAAAGAGGACTCGTCGTCGGCGGACTTTGTCGAGAGGAGGAGAGGCGCCCTGGAGAGGTGAGGGCTCGAGCGTCCTTCCTCCCTGCTGGGGCGGCGCTCCGCTTTCAAAGCCAAATTTCCCACATGACGACTTTGATGCTTGTAGATTTTTCATTGGCGTTTTAGTTTGTATTAGTTTTAGTCTTTGTTTTTTTTCACAATGCGGCGTTTCTTGTGCGCATGGCAAGAAACAATGTGCATCAACCTTTTTCTCTGCTCGGTGTGCGCTCGAACGGTGTAGTCGGAACTCGACAAAGTAACTTAGTTACTTCACTAGTGTCTTTGTTGTCAATTGAAAATAAAATAAAGACAACTTTTTTCAGTACAACTTTTCTTTTTTTTTTTTAAAGCGCTGTGATTTCACCAAATATCAATAAACTGATTACCTCAATTCGCTTAACATAAATGTTTAAAAAAACATTTTTTTTTCAAGTAAATCGATTTTTTGAACAGGTACCTTCAGAGGGTGGTCACTCACCCCTCGCTTCTCCAAGACCCCGACGTGCGAGAGTTCCTGGAGAGAGACGAGGTAAGACCAACTTTTACCGTTCTGCCTTATCGGAGCTCCTCCCCCTCTGTGACCCGAGTCGTCCAATCAAACACTTCCATCCAAAGCAACTTTTTTTTTTTTCCGCGGGTGGATGCGCGCAAGGGTGGTGGGCCAGCGGTGGGTGCCGCGAGGGTTTTCCCGCAACAAGCGCCTTCCCATTTGTGTGTGTTTAGTTGCCCCGCGCGGTGAGCACGCAGGCCCTGAGCGGCGCCGGCTTCCTGAAAATGATCAACAAGGCGACCGACGCCGTCAGCAAAATGACCATCAAGATGAACGAGTCGGACGTGGTGGGTTGGGACGCCTCGCATATCCCGCGCATCGTCGCCCGGCGTGTCGATGGCTCAGAACAGAGAGCCGAGCGTATGCCCCGTTCGCTTAACGCCACCGACTTCTTTTTCTGCCGCAGTGGTTTGAGGAAAAGCTGCAGGAGGTGGAGTCTGCAGACCAACAGTTCAGGAAGCTCCACGCGCTGGTGGAGTCGCTGGTCCTTCACAGGAAAGGTAACCAACCCGAGGAAAACCCTTCCGACCGCCATTTTCTTCAGTTGAAGCCAGAGTGGCAGAGAAGACCAGCGCCGACCCGAACGGAAAGAATGATAAAAGCCAACCCTGCCTTACTTTGCGACGATTTACGCTACAGTTTGTAGTTTGGTAGTTTGGGTTTGAAATCGATCAGTTGTGAAGCCGGTCCTGGTACTTTTCTGACGCACGTCGTTGAAGGTTTGTTTACTCCCCAGAGGCAACGTCATTAGAGTTGGCCAAAATTAACAGAAAAAACAAACTGAAACCACATTTTCATGTTGATAAAAGTACCGAAAACTAACGGCAGTCAACAGCAAATTTAAATCAGGGATGCCTTTATGACGCTCGGTGAATTTTTTTAAAATTCTTTTCTCACGCATCAGGTTTTTGAGTTCACTTTTAAGTTTGACCAAAAAAAAAAAATGGCTCAATACGCTTTTTTCTATGCGCTGTAATTTATGATGTTTCAGAAAAAAAAAATTCCACCTGTTACTGAACCAACCTTTAATTCATAAATATTATCGTACATTTGTATTTTTATTATTCATATGAAAACTGAGGGCAGATTCTGGATCACCGCAAAAAAAAAATTACCGGCGTAATTACTTCATTTTCATCTTTGTCAGTTAATATGATGCCAAAGCTTTCAGCGTTCATTTTATTGATTTTCATATTGCGTGCACATCCGTACAGAAGAAGGAAAGTCAAAGGGTCCTTTGAGAATTGTAGCTAAGTATTGTAGTTTACTTGCACATGATACGTTATCACTCGGCAAGCAGCCGACATGTGAAAAAAACTCAAATACGTAAACCAATTTAAAAAAACAAAGAAAGCAAAATAAAAATGAACAACATAACTTGCTCTTAGAACGACTGTAATTAAAACCAATTGGGGAAAAAAAAAAAAAACTACCTCACAAAAAATGCCAAACCCCAAAACCTGCTCTAACCACGCCCCCTCGCCCTCCTTCGCCAGAGCTTTCCACGAACACGGCGAGCTTCGCCAAGAGCGCCGCCATGCTCGGCAGCGCCGAGGACAACACGGCGCTGTCCCGGGCCCTCTCGCAGTTGGCCGAGGTCGAGGACAAGATGGAGCAGCTGCACCAGCAGCAGGCGGCCAACGACACTTTCGGCTTCGCCGAGCTCATCGCCGATTTCATCCGACTGCTCGGTGCCGTCAGGGTATGTCCTCGTTTACTCGAGCGGCCTTTCTAGCCCTAGCGCGCAGAAAACGGTTGACGAACCCGGCAGGGGCTCGTCTGCACTCTTTTGTAAATAGAAAGACAGTCGTCCCTCACTTGTTCATTGTACGCTCTCCCTCCGCGTGGACCGAAACCCCGTCGCCTGCGCAGGGCTCGTTCGACCATCGCATGAAGGCGTGGCAGCGCTGGCAGGACGCGCAGAGCACGCTGCAGAAGAAGCGCGAGGCCGAGGCCAAACTCCAGTGGGCCAACAAGCCCGACAAGCTGCAGCTGGCCAAAGAGGAGATCGCCGAGGTACGGCGGCGCCCCGCGGAAAGCGGGAGGGCCGTAAAACGCCAGCCGCGCCGCTTCAACGTGTCTCTGTTGTGCTTTGCCAGTGGGAGGCCAAAGTGACGCAGTTCGAGCGAGACTTTGACCGAGTGTCGGCCACCGTGCGCAGGGAAGTGCTGCGATTCGAGGTGCGCGCTTTTTGACTCCGGTCACGCTGGCCGAGTGAAGCGACACATTCCTGACTGACCCCCACCCCACCCTCGCTTCTCGTCACAGAAAGAAAAAGCCAGGAACTTCAAACGGCAGATCATCAAATATCTGGAGAATCTGCTCAAGTCTCAGCAGCAGGTGAGTTGATGATCTGCTTTGAGTTCAAAGTCGAGGTGTGCGGCTCTCCGGTAACGGATTCGATACGTGCCCCGATACCGTTGGCCGCGATACCATTCGAGGGCGGCTCGCAAATGTGGGCCCCGTATGCGTGTACGGACCGTGTGCACTCCTTATATGCTTTTGTTATGTTTGAAATATCTTTCTGCTTCATCGTCCTCCTAATGTGGCTGAACAGAGCGTCCGCATGCCTGCCCGCCGTCCACTGTCGGAAACTTTCCTTGTCGAGTTTTTGCCTGTCGAAGTGCAGTTAGCGAAATCATGTGACGTCTCCTCCGTCTGTGTGTGTGTCCATCCAGCTGATCAAGTACTGGGAGGCCTTCTTACCCGAGGCCAAAGCCATCGCCTGAGTTGGGGGGCACCGCTCGCCTTCTGCCTTTTTCTTCTCTTTTTTACTTTCTTTTTCTTTTGGCTCAAACTCGACCGCCCGCCTTTCAAACCAACGAAGGGCGCGTGGCGTCGTCAAAGAGAGTTTACAATCAACTCGCTTCTCGCTTTCTGATCGACCCTCTTTCGAACAGTCTCGTCCGCCGTTACGTAACCCTCCCAGCGCACGTGTTTTTTTTTAGAGAGCGGCGCTTTTCTCCACCTTTTGTTGTTTACGGTGCGTCGGGGTGAAAGTGGCTCAAAAGGGATTCAAGACAACATGTCGTCTGGATTAAAAATCCAGATCTGTTTTGCTTCAGTGAGTGATGCTGCGATGGGGGAAGGGCGGCATTAGAACGCGCCGAATGCATCTTGCGTCATGTACAAAAAAAAAAAAAATAATCAATCAATCCAAATGACTTGACATTTCTGTGCCTTCTGCCGAGGAGCGACGGGCGAGATACCGGCGTCCATCAATGACGAAACTTGTTTAGTTTAGTGCATGTCTATTCTTCTCATCGACTGTACGAAAGAGTATTTGGAGTACGCGACAAATCGGATGGTGCAAAATTGACGATCGTTCCCGGTTAATAATCACATCACCCTACCGGCAAACAAATTGAAATGACAATCGATCGTAACGTTTACGTTGATTCATTATTTTTATTTGCTTTGCTTTGCTAGCAGCTAAATTTCCAAAATTTAAAAAAAAAAACACACACACTTTCTCTGCATTTGTTTGATTATTCAGATGGCACTAAAAAGTCAAAAAATTTCACCACTAATATCAGACCGGTTTATGATGAAACAAGCCCCCCCAAAAGGAACAGTTTTACTTGTTTGAAAAAAGAAAAAGTAATTTACAATTTGTTTTGAATTAAAAAAAAAAAAGTCCGGTAAATTTCATCTTCTCTACTAGCAGCAAACCTTCCGAACAAAAAAATGTGTACAATATGTTTTGTTCTATTATTCTTATGACACACACACAAAAAAAAAAAAACAATCAAACAAAAAAAGGATAACTTGTCAGACTCACAAAGGGTTGACCCAACAAAAGTCCTTGCTATTCATTTGTTCTCTTAATGAGGTTGCACTAACGCAGAAAAGTTGATGAGTCGTTAGTTGCCCCCCCCCCCATAAAAATGCACATTCCTGGTTGACGATGACAAAAACCCGTCAGAAGTAACAATTTCACTCGCAAGTATTTGACTCATTGATCGTAAAGTTTGTGTGTGTGTGTGTGTGTGTGTGTGTGTGTGTGTGTGCGCGAATTTCACCTGCTTTCTTAACAAGCAAAAACGGTGTGAGGAAAAAGTTCTGTTTTTCTGCGCTTTTTCTGTTGACACGAAAAGCCAAGCTTTGCAACGAATTGTTCCGAACAATGTTGGATGATGACAGAATGAATGCAACAAAAGTCACAAGATAACGTGCAAGAAAATAGAAATGGCACAATTAAAAATAAAATGTTCATAATCTTTACTTGCGGAATTACCAGAATGTCCTGTCAGCAAACGTTACAAAAAAGTTTTTCAGATTCAAAGTTACTGATTGGACAACACGACAGAGCAACACAATTTCACTGAGTCAAATGTCCGTCTTTTTTTGTTGTTGTTTTCTTGCTGCAATTATTACAAAGAACAAACTTTTTTTTTTTTGGTTTGTTTTTGCGGTATTTCCTTTGTCGACTGTATTTGGATTGTACACAAAAAAAATCTGATAGAAGTCATACCAAAATTTACAATGTAATTGTTGCAAATGTTCTATATATCACGCCCCGCTCATCAATAGCAATTACAAATTAACCCATTTAGCATAAATGTAAAAAAAAAATACTTGTAAAGTACATTATTTTGTATGATTTTTCTTGTCAGATGCAGTCTTTATTTTACTGTATTTTATATACTTTGTCTTATTGCGTTTTTCTTTTTCTCCTCTTGTAAAATGAGAATATGACTGTTGTTTATCACTTGTCTTTTTTTTTTTTTCCATATAGCGCATTACTGCCCAATAATTTTGATAAGGCTCATCGTGGCCCAAATATTCCTTGGTACTTTTTACTGTTGGACAATAGAACAAGCATGACCCCCCCTTTTAAAAGCAAGATAAGTGACGTGACAAAATATTGTAGGAATCCTGCTGCACAATGAAGTGTGTGTCCTGGCTAATTTCTACAAACAGCCTGACACTAAAAATATCTCAAGAAATGCGTGCGTGTGTCGAAATGCATCTCTCAAATGTTCTTTGACAAGTCTCACGAATGGTAAATTGAGTCGCGCGCCAGGTCGAGAAGTCGAGCGAAGAAAGTGTTTTCGTAGCTTTGATTTTTTTCACATGCGATGAGGAAAACGATGCTGCGCACTTCCTTTATGAGAACATTTCACGTTGGATTAAATGGCGGTCATTTTTCGCAGAGGCCCTCGCTGAATGCAATGTGAGATTGGATCAATGTGTTGAGGAAAAAAAACAAAGTCACCAGTGTGCACCCGTGTCACGGAAATTTTCTTGGAGAAGAAATCAAATAAACGTTGCACTGTTTACACTTGTATATCTCGTCGACTGTTTTTGATTTTTTTTTTCTTGCTACCGCGCTGGCAATTGTCAGTTGTTAGTGCATTGTCGCCATACTCAAACTCACAAACATGAGTATGAGAGGAATGAGCAGTTAACCCCCCCCCCCCCAAAAAGCAGCTAAAGTTGTGATTTTATTTAACAGGACACGGCCACCGGAGACGTGACTTTATTTTCCATTCATTTAAAATTCATTCAAAATCATGAAGGCGCATGTAAAAACCAACACGATTGAAAGACGTCGAGAAAAAAAAACAAATCAACAGCCTAAGAAGACACTTTTGCATGAGTCGCACATAATGGGTTGAAGACACAACTTGTAGTTGACATACATGGACAAAACAAACAAACAAAAAAAAAAAGCATATCCGTGATGACATATCTTAGCGTTAGTTGACTTCTGTCCAGAAAGTCCAAATGATTCCAGCCACCTGGAATGCTCAAAAAAAAAAAAAAAAAAGAGCCTCTTTGAAAAGGTCCTTATTTGAGTCCGTCAAGCTAAGAATGGGTGAAACGCAGCCTGGCATCCATTGCAACGACAAGCCAAGTGACCAAAGTAGTCCAGTGCGTGCGTTTCAAAGCATCGTCCGCGCCACGTATCGCAGGAGGCCTCCGTGCTGGAGAAAGATGACGTCCAGCTCGTTGTCCAACTCTGCCGTCACCACAAAATCTTTGCCGTCGCTCGTCTGAAACAAAACAAAAAACAACATGAGGAGGAGCGCTCTGGAAAATGCCAAAAATCAGAATTGGCATTGGCCTGAAAAATTGTCAAGCCCGTGACCGCAGTGTGTGAGAATCATCACGTCTTGCCTTGACGTCGAGCTGTTGGCCGGGCGCAAGGCGTTGCGGCAGGCTGACGCTGAACCTCTCGGTGCCGGCGAGCTCCAGCGTGTCGGCGTTTTGCTCGGGCGCGAACCGCAGAGGCAGGATGCCCACGCCCACCAGTTGCTTCTTGTGTAGACGCTCGAAGCTCTCGGCGATGACAGCGCGAACGCCCTGCAAGAGAAGACGGCGGACGTCAGAACGCAAAACCGCGATAAGGCCGCCGGTCACGTTGTGGTACAAATACAGGCACACTTGTGTCTTTTCCCCTCATATTTTCCAACCATTTTGCCAAATTTTTCTAGCCATACGTGTCTGGCAGGAAGGGAGTACTGAGAAAGTGCACACAAAGGCCACTAAATTAAAGGTCATCGAAAAACATAAAGCGAGTGCAATCGTGTATGGTTGCAAAATGAGAACCACTATCGGGTTTGTACCATCAGATAAGGTCCTTTGGCCACCCAATCACGGGAGCTTCCGGAGCCGTAGTCCTTCCCGGCCAGGATGATGAGCGGAACGCCGTCCCTCTGATAGCGCTCGGCCGCTTCGAACACGTCCAGCTGGGTGCGGGGGGAGAAGGAAAACGTGAGCAAAAAAAAATAATAAAAAGTGTATGCGCCGACATCGGGAGTGCGGTGGACACTGGAGCCGCCCTGAACCGGGGAGTCAACTGAAACATTTTCTTGATGATAATATGTTGTGTTATATAACGAGAGTCTAAACACACTATTTGGATTTATAATGAGTCTGCAAACGCTCAAAAGTCGTCCACTCACCGTTTGCCCCGAGGGAACGTGGAGCGTTTTGGGCCCTGCTTTGCCCACCAGTCGATTTTGGAGCTTGATGCTGGCAAAGGTCCCTCTGGTCATCACGGCGTCGTTGCCCCGCCGGGAGCCGTAAGAGTTGAACTCCCGAGGGGTCAGCCTACGGGATGCCAGAATACCGAGGCACTCAGAACCGTGCGTGCACGATAAGACATGATGATTGTTGTCATCAATGAAAAAAAAAAAAGGTCGATGGTCAAAGGCACCTTTTGCTGAGCAGGTACTTGGCGGCAGCGCTGACCCGGGCGATGCTGCCCGCGGGCGAGATGTGGTCGGTGGTCACCTTGTCGCCGAGGAACAGCAGAGCGTGAGCGTTGTCGATCGACTGAGGGGGCGGGACCTCTTTACTCTTCAGACACGAACGGAGGGAGAGGGCGTCACGCGATGGGTTCGGTTTTCCCGAGGCACGGACGGAATCGGCGAGGCGCCGCGCTTACTAATTTGCCGAAGAACGACGGCGAGCGGATGTACGTCGACTTGGCGTCCCAGGGAAAGACGACAGACTCGGGACACTCGATGTTGCTCCAGAACGTGTTGCCTTTCTGGAAAGAGGAGGGAAGACGACGATAGTGAGCGCTCTTGAAGCACGTACGGCGCTCGCACTAACAACATGGCTGCCAACAGCCGTGGTGGGAAGGAAACGATGTCATTTTTTTTTTTTTTTTTTAAGCTTTTGAAGGTGTCTGGAAGAGAAGGTATGTATGAATGTACCAAGTAAGTTTGCGATCGTTAGCTGATGTGGCATTTTGGGTCACCAAAGCTGAAAAGTCACGCCGGCAGGAGCTCGATCTGAAACCACGATTTGCGACAGGTAACGTGATTTATTTTCTCCGTAGTTAGAAAACAATGTCAACGTTAAGGAAAGTGGGAAATTCATTGGTGTGCTGTTCACTTTTTGTTCTTTAAAAAAAAAACAAACAAAAAAAAAAAGTGATGTTCTCCATGATTGACACCAAAAACAATACTTGTGCACTTTTGTATGGAAGCACATTTCAGAGTCAGTTTAGTGAAGCGCGTCACTTTTTATAAAAGCAACTTTTTGGTCGATTTATTTGAGCGCACATTTTGCAAAAGGGACATTTCGCCAAGAGGAAGTCATTCTTTTCTTTCGATGATTTTTCTGTGGGCGTTGATGCAATTTAGTGCAGAGTAAAAAGAAAAAAAAAAAAACATTTAAGAATAAAAAAATCAAGCAGGTGCGCAATCCCCACGCCTCCTTACCACCATCCTCGCCTTGAGATCCTTAAAGACGGAGGCGATGACGGCGTCCTCCTCCGTCTGCTGCACCTCCTCCCTGGACGGCCAGATGTCGCGAAGGTACAAGTCCCTCCCGTCGGAAGCCAGGCCCAGAGGTTCTTTTTCAAAGTTGATGGCCACGGTGCCCGCGATGGCGTACGCCACCACCAGGGGGGGCGAGGCCAGATAGTTGGCCCGTATGCAGTCGCAGAGGCGGCCCTCAAAGTGCCTGTTGCCAGATAGGACCCCGCACGCCACCAGGTCGCCCTGGAAGGATTTGGCGCAAGGTGTCAACGCGCGCGGCTGCCTAAAATGGGAACTAAAGCATCAAAAGTCACCTGCTTGATGGCGTCCACGACGCTTTCCGGCAAGGGCGCCGTGTTTCCGACGCAGGTGGCGCAGCCGTAGCCGATCACCTCAAAGCTTGAGCGCAAAAGAAGCACACACGCCAATATGATATGATATACACACGGCGAGAATATCTTCGTGTGACGGGCTACAGCGCAAGCTAGCTGCTTGCACCGACAACTCGGCACACAGTCGACATTTTTGCCGAGTCGTTACCCGAGCTGGCTGAAGTAGGGCAGCACCCCGCTGGCGTTGAGGTAGTGCGTGGCCATGCCGCTTCCGGGCGCCAGGCTGGTCCGGATGTAAGGCTTGACCCGGAGCCCCGCCTCCGCGGCCTTCTTGGCCAGCAAGCCTGCCGCACACGCGCCCACGTCAGGTTGCGCTCACGCGGAATCACAAAAAAGGCTTTCGTATCGCCGTGAGACGAAAAACGTGAGTCGCGGGAGCAGCTTACCCGCCGTTAGCATGACGGAGGGGTTGCAGTTGTTGGTGCAGCTGATGACGGCGGCGATGACCACCGAGCCGTGGCCCAGGTGGTATTCCTGACCGGCGTGCAGGAAGGGAACCCGGACGCCCTGCTTGTCCTTGGAGATGTGGAAGCCTCTGGGGCCCAGCTGGGGGGGGGGGGGGGAAAAAGGGGAGGCGGGGGGGGGGGGGGGGGGGGGGGGGGGGCGCGTCAGTTAGACGCGACACGTGTGTCGTCGGCGTGAGCGAGGCTTTTTACCTTCTCGTCGAGGCAACTCTGAAATCCTTCCTTCATGCCGCAGACGGCCACGCGGTCCTGCGGCCTCTTGGGCCCGCTGACGTGCGGAACCCTCGAGCTCAGGTCGATTTCGATCACCTTCACGCCAACGCAA